GCGTGTGTGTGTGTGTGTGTGTGTGTGTGTGTGTGTGTGTGTGTGTGTGTGTGTGTGTGTTTCCAGATTTTCCTTCGACTGCACAAACACAGACAAGAAAACATCCTTACTTTGAATGTGTAAGTGTTGGATGTCCAGCAGCAGTTCTGTTTGACTATGAATGTATATATCGATAAAACTGTCAGCTCTGATTTTGCCTGAAAGCTCCATTACAGGCTTGGGCAGTAATAATGTTTTTGTTCCGTCTTTAAATCAACATGTACATAAACTGTCACAATTAGAGGTGTACAGAGAAAGCTCGATATATTAATCCCCACACCCATTATTAGCTGTGGCTTTAATTACCTAAAATTTCTATTTTGTTTTGCTGACACACAGAAACCTTGTTCCCAAACTGCTAAATGGATCCACATAAATATGTACGTTCAGACTAGTAATGATCAGAGATTGATATGCTTTAATTTGCCCAAAGCATTAGAATTTTTATTTAGAGTGTTTTAAAGTGCACATTTCCACAAACCAATGAAACTAAACAGAAGTGAAGTCAAAGTACAGTCATTAAAGCCCCCTCAGGCAGCCCACTGATCAAGGTGGATGGGTGGCGCACTTGAAAAAGCACACCACAGAGACATGGGATCAATAATGAGCAGTGGTGATTCTTGCTGAGAGCTCCATCAGAGACATTTGGCAGGGAAACTGGTCATGGCACTAGCAACTGCTCCTATTCGGTCAGTACACTCTGTCTTCTTCTCTCTACTACACCCTCATTAGGCTAGCAGAGGGGGTTAGCTACATCAGTGAACGCTGTAGAGAGCTATGTATCATAAACTAACTGAGAGGGAAGTCTCTCAATTCTGTCTCACATTTATTCATTGCATAGTTTACAAATATATGGCACATCCAAACTGGCAACTGTACCTCTAACAGAGACTCCTCCAGCTGAGCCAACTGTATCTTTTTATCCTCTTCTTGTTGCAGCAGTCTTGTTTTCTCGGTCTCCAGTTCTGGCTTTTCCTGCTGGATGGTTAATGCTAGCAGCTGATATACAGACACAAACACAAACAAGCGGTGATATAGTATGACCAAAAACACAAATTCACAATGACGAAAACATCAAAAACAACCTATTCAAAACATAGACAACAGTCCTACACTTTCACATGGATGTTCATGAAGCATTCAGCATGTTTAGTCAGTCTGATAGCCGTAATAAAAAAGATATGCACTGCATTTGACCATCAGACTAAGATTGTGTGTGAGTGGGTGATTTGAGATACCTGTCCCCGCAAGCCTGCCCTGGTGGTAGTGAAGTTGACCTCCGTAACCACAGAAGCAGCATCAGGAGGGATGAAGGGACTGGGATTCCGTGTTGCAAGGAAGAGACGGAAGTTCTCGTTGTAATCAATGACCTTATCGCCGATCTGCACCACATATCTTGGACCTTCAGAAGATGAGTGCACATTGTGAAAAAAAGAAGTGTCATATTGTTCTATCCATGCCTAACGTTTGTCATTCCTGTTGTACGTTTTATAACTCTCTTCTCCACTTTTCGTCTTCCATGCTCTGCAGTGCAGTACCCCCGTGCAATTGCCTCACCTTTTTTTTTCGAACTTACCAAACATCATTTTGAAGTGGATTCCTTGCCCTTTAATATAGTTTCTCTGCCCCCACACTTTCCAATTCAGCCTAAAATTGACAACCACCTGGCTCTGGTAGGATTCAGAGCCGCATGAGTCATCCTCATTTTCACCGGTGTGTTTCCAACCCCCGATAATATGTATGTGGTTAGCATCCAATTACGTAAATTAAGGATATAAATACCGCTGGTTTCATCAGAAGTTTAAACATAAGTAAATAAGGAAAAAAATATGTTTTTGCATGTTTATTTTGCTTTTATATGAGGCATAAAAATAACTTTTATGTGGAGATTACACAGTAAATATCTACAAAGTGCAAAACAACAGATGACGGCGCTCAGTGCTTTTCCTTTTTGTTAAGCACATTTTGCCATTTATTAAAGATATCACCAAAATGAATGGAAATTGTACTACATATGAGACCAAAGCAATGCTTGTTGCTAGCATTTGCATAATCAGGAAAAAACTTATGGACAAACTAAATGTGACGACACTGATGTATTTTAAGATTCTATTGCATACATGACCACTCAGGGTTGGTTTTGTGAAAGGTACAATGGCCTTGGGTGCTTAGGGGAGAGTGCAACGAGCTCTGAGTTAGAAAGTGCCACCATTTCTCAGGAAGTTCTGTGCTTGTCTGAATAATGAAACCTGGCAAAGAGGAAATTCTTTTTTAGGAGTAAGGAAATTAAATCATATGATTGCACTGGTAATGTAACAAACCTCATATCATTTTCAGTTATTATTAAGGGTCTGTTCGCCCTTTTTTATTTACCATACTTTTTTTGGGGGGGCTGAATCATGCATCAAGTCAAGGTTAAGTCTTTGACTGAAAGATTCCACTTGTCTGATATAACCGATATTGCGACTGGGTCATTTTGGAATTAATCTGTATAAATGCTTGTGCATATTAAATTTTTAAAAAATTAAATAAAAAAGAGAAGACTGGAGCTACATGTAAAACTCTGCAAAAGTTCATGAGAAAAATTAAAGCGTGAGCAATGCAGCTTTGGAAAAGTTGACGGAAGAATTTTTCCTTCTAAAAATTAGCATGGCATTAAGATCTTGGCTTGCAAAGTTGCCTTAAAAGAAACTAAACTTCTGGAACAATCATTGTTAGACATAAGAGACCAAAGTAAAAAAATGTTCAGCTCATTCTATATGTAAAGAGTGATATTAAAAAAAGGATGTGTCTGACAGTTAAAGATCAATTGAAACTGGGTCATACAACAGGAGAATGATCCCAAGCTCTGCAGCAAATCTACAAAAGGTTGTAAAAAATTATCTTAAAACTGCTGAACCGTGCTCCAATTGCTCACTTAATGAGCATCAACAAACTGTGTGGAAAAATGTTTCAAAAACACAAAAAAACAAGCAAACAATTAGTTAATAAGTAGATTGGACTAAATGAACTCCAAAAACTCTGTAAGTAAAACTTTGTATGAGTGATGTTTTTGCTTATGAGTTTGGACGTGTACCCTGTGCTATGAGATCCCTCCTCAGCAGTGGATAGAGAACAGGTTCAACACCGTCCATCTCCTGGATGATGAGAGTTTTTCCAAACCTGACAGCAAGCTCCAGGGATGTCATGAAGTTGTTATCCTATAAAATATCATGTGCAAAGAAACATTTGATCTTTCATCATTAAACAACAACCATTAAAATCAAATGACTAAATGTTCATTGTGGTCCAAGATCATCTCTGCAGGAGAACAAAATGTTGTCAAGGACAAATTAATGAATTGATTCAGTAATCAGTGAAAACTAAACTTCTGCTTATTGGTGTATCTGATTTTAGTAAAGTTCTGATTGCTAATTATGTCAGCAGAATAATTATCTGTTAAAATCAACATTTGAAGCAGCTCAAGGTGAAAATGAAGATAGCCCAAATATAGATTAAAGTTACCCCAGTATATTAAAAAATCAAACTTATTGCATCATTTAATGCTAAAAACTTTGCTCAAAATCCTCTTGTACACAATCAGATTGAACTGATAACAGCGGGCAGAAGACTGCATGACAATAACTGTGACTTATCGTACAGTAATATTCCAAAATTATTTCAGTTTTTTTTTCTCAGAATTAGTTAAAGGGCCTAATAAAGACTCTAATAAAAAATGAATAAATATTCTCTCTATTTTTCCTGGGATCAGGCTTTGAATTGTTAAAGACACTTCACAGCCTCATGCACCTTAGATTTCAGTTGAGGGTTGATGGATTGAAGAAAATATATCCCATCTGTTCATGGCTGCATAAATGAGGTGAGTGTGTGTGTGTGTGAGTGTTTACCTGCTGGTTAATAACCTCTAGTCTATGCTCTTTGAGATGTGTGCTTAACCACTCTGTAGCTCGGGAAGATGGATCGATCAGGAATGGACAGGCGACGCTCTGAGCACAGGACAATGAAAAAACCATCAATTAGCTAAATTGCTGCAAAAATGACAACCAGGTGTGGGAAAATTTGGTCCTGATTTGTTTCTTGTTCAAGAAGGCTCTGTCCAAAGCCATTGTGTACACAATGGCTTATTTGTCTGGCCCTTTGCAGTGTCATATTTTGTCACTTTTCTTCACCCCAACCAACGTAAAATACAAACCTCTGCAAAGGCCCCAGTGTTTCATCACTGGGGCTTCATCAGGGGGGCTTTCACCTGCTGAAAAAGACCAATGCCATTCAGCAATACAGGGACCATGTCAGGGTGTATGCGTTGAGCCCCAGCATTTCCACACAAGCTCTCTGTACAACTCTTGCAGCTGTTTAAGGCCAGGAAAGCTCAAGCAGAATGAGAAAGTGTCAACTGTACTGGCATGGGAACAACCCTTTCATGTGCAAACAAAAGTAGAAAAAAAATATGACATTTCGACATAAAAAACACAAATACCAGGATGTTTCGAATTTGCTCGCTCTGTACAGAAAAATCAAAGGGATTTTTATCCATTGATGTCTTTGTTAAATGAATGAATGTTCATTAATTTCTCATATGATGATCACACCGAATGCTCTCATCATATTGCACATAAACCACTAACCCTAATGGGAGCTATGGCAGGGAAGAAAGAAAGAAACACGATAAGAGACAGAGTGTGGGCTATGAGGGTGGATGATTCTTACCTGTATCTTTAATGCATTGATCTGAAGGCAGTAATGGTAGACACAAACAGAGGCAAATGGAGGACATGTGAATGGTAACAGTGGCAGAATTATTTGCATTAATGGTGATATACAGATTATGTTGTGCTGTTATTTGAATAATGTATAGAAAGTGAAAGGTAAACCAATCAGCAACTACACTGAAACAACACGCCTAAAACTATAGGTGCCATCACGATGAGGAATCCAAAAGAGAGCTCTTGTCTGGGCTCACACGGCCCCAGGATATGGGTGAGGATCCTTTAAGTCTTGGAAGTACCAATGTGGAGCTGCCATGCATCAGACTTGTCAAAAATCTGAACAATTTGTTACACTTCTAAAACCATGTCTGAACAATCTGTGCAGAGTGGCAGGGAGCTTTCTCCTGCAGAAAAATGTTGCTCCCATTCAGCAATACGGAGACCATTTTGGGTTGCATGTGTTCAGCAGAACATCTCGAAAAGAAAATGTGATTCATCACATCAGGCCTCCCTCCATCCTTTCCCAGGGCTCAGCTAAAAAAGCCCGTTATAAGCACTTTTGGTAGCATACAGCATGGACAAAACTCAGTTTGTGCTTATGTGGTGAATTGGTGGATGCTCCTCTGCATCAGGGTACTGTTAATGGGATTTTCCTGTGACTTACTTGTCTTGTCTTCTGTGTAGTAATTGGTTGGATACACTCACATTGGCTTATATAAAGCCAGAGGGGGCAGTGTCTTGTTCTCATCTCCACAAGCTCCAATGGGACAATGTTATTTTCTCTGTCTACACTTTGTCATTAAGTATTAGCTAGCAACAGCCCACTTTTTAGTTTTGTTTCTGTTGGGGTGTTTGAGTTTGGGGCGGCAGCCTCGAACTGGGAGCTCGTTGCATATTTAGTTTGTGACCTAATCTTACTTTTGTTTGTGTTGGCTGGCAACATAAAAGTGATTAACGTTATGGGTCCTTTTAATTCACCATTTAATTCAGTGACAATAACAGTATTTTTTCACAAAACTCAGACTCATGTCCCTCTACGGGACATGCACCCTATGTACAAACAGAGTTTTGGGTGCACATGACCCTTTTTGAATTATGCTCTGAAACAATAATCTAACCTACTGCATATTACTTTTTTTTTTTTTACTACGTTTGATTTCATTACATCAACTTGCCAGACTGACGACTCCACTTGTATTGAATTTATCTAACTCCTTGACAGGAACCCTTAAACAATATCGTTGGTATCACCCATGACCCCTGTTGTGGCAGTTCTGACAGAAAAAAAAGCAAAAATAAAAGGTCTAAAAGCATAATAGAAATTTTTGTCTAACCTGAAGTATAACAAGTGCATTTTCCATGGAGAGGTCATCTGATGGCAGCCCTTGACTCTTCCAGATCAGCTGCTCACTCTCCGAACACAAAAACGACCGCAAGTCAAACTCTGAGAAAAAACAGAATACGCCAACATGTTATAATTGAAAAAGGAAGCGTGTGACTGCACTTTTACATTCCAATTATGCCTAATTCCTGATCCCATATGACATATTTAATGGACAAATAATCACAACAACCAGCTTATGATGGCTTTCTTTTTTTTTTTTTTTCTGTTTGGGGGGGGGGGCTAAGACTGTGATGCTTAATGACTTATTGTCAGTTTTGATTGAAATACTAACATTGCCAAATATGAGTTTTGGACAACACTTGGCAATGTTACTGACTGCTTGGTTTGTAAAAGTGGGAAAGCAAAATTAAACCCCACTTTCAGAGGTATGTTAACAAGCCCTCCTTGTCAACAGACAATACGTTTTGGATCACTTTCTCAATGTGTAACAGCCGGATGCATGAGTTTGTGTGTGGGCATAGGTGTTTGCGTAGGCTTTTAAGCACAGAAGTCTGCATATGTTGATGATGCTAGATTGTTAAAAAGTGAAACTCCTATCTTTACTCTGTAGTCCAGACTGAGCCATCCATGTCTCCAGACAGTGTTTTCTCCGGTCTTCAGACGCAGCAGACAGATAGGTGATGAAGGCTGCAGCAAGCTGAGCCCTGGTAGGGAGTGTATCCAACTCATTCTTAATCTCAGACATCTGAAAAACAAACAGGCATGGCAGGTGAGATGAAGGGACATATAGGCCAGCAGGTCAATCAAGTATGAAAAGAATTAGATGATAGCAAGTGAAGAACGGCAAGGATGAGAGAGGAGGAGAAGGAAAAATAGCGAACGTTAAATGACAACACGCTAGCATGAGCGTGATGCGGCAGACACTACTGCATGACTTCAGGGCTGATCAGTATTCCTTTGAGGTACTTCAGCAGCATGTCAGGGAATAACAAATGTACATGCATGACTTTGATGAACAGCTTCACATTAAGCTTGATTGTTAAGACTTAAGGTTCCTACATGAACACATTTCTTAGGCTTCGGGTTTACAGGGTCTTGTAATCTCTTGTCTGCTGTATCTATACTGTGAAGCACAATGCCACCTTCCTTATTTCAACAAAAATAAAAACTGTGTGGCCTCACACACTATCCCTTATACGGCCCTCTCTTCCTTTAAGAGAGTTAAATAGCCTGAAGGCATAAACATATAGAAAGCCACAACTACTGTGATGTGTGCAAAGAGGGTCTGTGCATGTGTGTGTGCATATGGAAATACGTGAGTAGGGAGTTAAATCGCTCCTTGGTGCAGGCCTTGAGCAAGACCATGAATGCTGTGGGTGTGCATGTGTGTGAGAGTAAGTGTGTCAGCCCGAGATTGAGTGTTTTAATTAAGGCGTAGACAGATGCTGCAGGGAGGAGTAAAAACAGCTAGAGGGGACCCAAGGCAGCAGGATCCATCCCTCTGTAACACACACACTCTGACACCCACTCCTCCTGTTGCTACTACATGGTAAATTAGCTCTTTGGAGAACATTTGTAAACCCTCCCACACCCGTACACAAATCCACACACCCATACATTAAACTACCTGTGCATTCCAGCGTGTGTGTTCTCCATCCAGTTGTGATATGAGCTGCTGGGCTGCAGTGATCGTGTCCTGAGCTTTTGTCACCTCAGCCTCCAGCTTAGCAGCCTCTGCTGTGTGACACTGAAATCTGAGTAAGAAAACAGGACACATATCAGTAATTAAAAAACAGTGTCTCATATTGGATCATCTGAGATCTCCAAGACTATGGTTAGGTTTTTTCACCAGGGACAGATCAAATAGACAGACGCAGCTCCCTCTGTGCAGCTGAAAGTGGAGCATAACTCCTTGCATATAATAGAAAACATAATAACGTAAAATTATGAGGTGAGGAGTGGGATATATGAGAGTAAGAAAGACGTCTGTCAGTAATGAGAGGGCAGAAAATGGATCCATGGTAAATTGAATGGCAGGACTAATAACTGTAAAAAACTTTTAAAAAGTTTAAAGTGATAAAAGAGAGAACAAAAGAGAAGGAGTGAACTAAGTCACATGTGCGGTATTAAGTTTGCTTTGATCTCTTAAATAGCACATCTGGCTTTTTATTCACTCATTGCTCATAACGTGATTTACAACAGATTCATATCAGAAAATCTACATACTTGTCATTAACTACATCCAGAGGAAAACCTTCCCACTCAGCTCTACACCAGCAAGTGAAGCCAATTTAAAAAGCCCGAGAGTTGCCTCCAGGCAGAACAAATTGTTTGTATCAATCACTGCATACCTGCGTGCTGTGTGACATGAATCAGTAAAAAAAAGTACTGCATGCAAAAGCGAAGAAAAAGTCTGCTTTAAAAAAATGTCTCTGCCTGCAGTTAAGAATAGTACCATTATTTAAGTTGAATTTCAAAGACTTTTTTCATTTGTCAACAGAATCTTACTGACTTCCGTGAAGATAAAGACAAAAGGTTGTTTGTTTGATTTAGACACGAAGACAATACACAGAAATACAACTTTAAGATGCAGACTAAGAATTACAAAGGAACCGAGGAATCAAAGGGTGAAGGGATGGATAAGCACGTACTTCTCTTTTAACTTGTTGACTTTCGCTCCAACACTGTTAAGCTGATCCTCCAGTTTGTTCTTCCTGCTCTCTGTTTTTCTGAGGTTTCTTTGCAAACACAGACACATAAAAGGGAAATTAGTTAGAGCTGTCAGACTAAGTATTTCAACACAAGGTCACTTGCAAGCATGGCGGAACTCTCTTCATGTAAATGAGCAAATTTCTACATAAGAAAAAGCCAATAACTTCAACATAGATTTTTTTTTTGGGGGGTTGAAGTTACTGGACCGATAATTCAAACCTTAACATTTAACTTCAGTGTGATGACGCCTGTAGCTCATGACTATGGGCACGTTTGTCTTGAAATAGTGTTTTTTGGAGGTGTGTTTAGGTGTGTCCCTACTCCATTAGACCAGCTTGCTCTCTTTCCAGTGGCTCTATTCTCTCGAGGACGAAGGAGTACTGGACGTTGGCTTTGACCCAGGCAGCCAGAGGGGCAGCTGCAGCACTGGCACGCTTTGCATTCTGGCAATAACAACAGCATCCCATATTAGGAACAACTCAGGTACAGCAGTCACAGTGCCAACTCAGAGCACAAACAAGAGGGGAATAAAAGATTGAGTGAAATTTAACATCCACCAACAGCAGATCTGTTTGTAATTCTGCTGCTGACACTGCAAGCGGACCTTGGGGTCAAAGGAGGCCTTGTTCCTGTTGAGTAGCTCTTCCACACTCCGGCGGATCTCAGGAGTGATGTTTCTTGCTTCAAATGTGGCTATGTCCTCCCTCACGCCACGCTTTGCCAGAAAGCTACGTAGAAGGGCAGTTTTCAGACGTTCAGCATGTCATGGAGAGATAATCAGGCTTTGAGATCAAAGCGCTAATTCAAGGCCTTTTTCAAATGACTTCATGACACCAGTTTCCCTTTCTTTGCTCTCTCACCTTTTCATGCTGACCCAAGTGGTGTCAAAGATGCCCATTAGTCTAAGAACACCCTCTAGGATATCTCTGATGACATCAGGGGGCATGCGGAGAGAGCGGATCTCAGACAGAGCCTCAGGCTTGATGTTTCCAACTGCACGCTTTGCTTCATCAACCAGAGGCTAGAGGGCAACATGGGTTAGGAGAGAGGAGGGAAGGATGAAATGACATATGAGGGTTTAGAAAAGATACGAATTACAAAAAAGACGAAAACATAGATCAGATAACTTACTTGTACTTCCTTTAACTCATCATCAATGTTTGCTTTTCTCTCTTCAATCTTTGACACTTCTTGAGCCATTTTCCCTTTAATTTTCTCCATTTCCGTCTTCTGGTCACTGGCATTCTAAGAACAAACAACCATCTGATGTTCGTTACATTGGATTGAGAAATACTCTGTATATACTCCATGATCACATTTGGGAGTGTTCAAAATGCAGAGAAAAAAATCAAAAAGAGAATACATGACAAAAAATAAATCAGTAACATATGTTCCAGGCAACATAAGTCGATATAAAAGATTGAGTTTAGGAATATCCAGAAAGAGACAGTGAAGGTGGCTGAAATGGAGACAAGATGATTGTTTCCCCTTGAATTTTTTTTTTCTCTGACCTTTCTGCTACTGATATCTGTCCTTATCATGACATCACAGCACTGATCTCATCCACTCTTCATTCCTTCAACTCTTCCACAGAAAATGGCTGACTACATGGTATATAAATCATTCTTTCCAGATTCTTCTCCAATTCTCTTTCTCATTCCTCCTATACTGCTCTAAATTCTACACGCCTCTGTCTTTACAAAGCATCAGTCACGGCTCTGTTTATTTTGGAGTTTTTCCTGATTTTTCCTCCCTGCTATCTGTCTCCACAGGCGGCAGAGCTGCAAGAGACCAAAGAGACACGGCTACCCTTTAATCATCACTCGCAAACAGTCAACAAGTTTGTCCTTTTTCTTTCTATCTTTCTTCTATTGTTCTCAAAATACATAATCTTCAGAGTGAAAACACTGAATAACATCAAAACTACTCAACAGAGTTCGGCTTTCTTTTATCCATCCATTCATCTGTCCTCAAGACAGAGCCCACTAGAGGAAATGGAAATGTGTCTGTCAGAATGTCAAGAGTATTGGATGAGTCAAGTCATAAAACAAACTAATAAACATCGGTGCTCATAAGATAAAACAAACTGTGTCTTCACAGCAGGGAGAACGCGAGCACGGGAAATTTGGAAAAGGTAACACAAAAAAAGCTTCCTCCAAGATCAAATTATTTTTTAAAAAGAGAGGCGAAACAGGACTAAAGCCTAAGAGGAGGACCAAGAAGGAGAAGACTGGAGGACGTTGGAGGAAACATAAAACCCTTCAGGAGAACTCTTCCTGCCTCTGAGTGTTATAAACATGCATTCAAAGTCAAGCAGCACAGACACACACACACACACACACACACACAAACCTGCATGGAGGTGGTGATTTCTTGCAGGGCAGCATCCGCCTCCTGCTGTTTTGTCTTCAGCAGGGCACTCTGCTCTGCAGCCCGCCTCTTCAAATCATCCACCAATGCTTTTGCTTCGTTCAGCTTTGACACCCCCGCCTGCAGACACGTCAATAAACAATAACAGAAACATGTGAGAGAAGCAGAATTGTGACGGTTGATGATTTGAGAGTTTAACGACCATCCTTTATAAATCTGCATGTGACACAGGCAGCATTTTTACCTGCAGATGTTGTTGCCTTTGTGTAAGCTGGCTTTGCTTCCGGTTGTATAAAGCTGTGTAAACATGCAGAAAGGCCAGGTACTGACTTGGTGTGGCACCATGTTCTCTGCATGACTCATGGACCATTAGGAACAAACGGCACAGATCTCCCTTCTCAGACCCTACAGAGAACCAAGGATAAGTTTAAATTAACTTAATGGTGAAAAGTCAGTTTTATTACATTTATTTATATATACACACAGAGAAAGAGAGACAGAGAGGGAGAGAGAGAGAAAGAGAGAGAGAGAGAGAGAGAGAGAGAGAAAGAGAGAGAGAAATCTTACATCTACTTTAGGGAAAACACAGAAGATAAAATAAAGTGTTGTTTTTTTTAAAACAACTCTTATAATCAATTCACAGATTACCACATATTCAAAGTTACTGACATCGGAATATTAGTAGCTTCTCATGAAAATACATTTGTATTTTATGTTTTCCATATGTTATGAATATATTACCAAAGATTTCTGTTTTAACAATTTAAATATTTAAATGACGTAGAAGCCAAATATGCAGGTTACAAAAACAAAGAATAGAAAGGTCGTGAGAAATTTGGTTTCATGTGCTTTTACCTGAGCTTGTCCTATTCAGGGCATTTTCACTTTCATTTTGTCCATTTCCTTGTTCTGTTTTAGCCAGAAGTAGCTCAGGAATCTGGCAGGAAACACAAACAGGTTGACACATATGTAATCTCGATTGAAAGTATGAATGTATGACTAATTAATTTAACTTCGTAGCAAGATCTACAGTGTCAACAATAGCATGGAAATATCGCAGACTAGCACGAGTTTGTAAATCTGCAGATTTGAATCTAATTTTTAGATTTTTAATCTAATCAAAGCATTTGTTCCATTTTCAGTAGTTCTTTTTTTGTCATGCAGAAACCTTCTTCATGCTGCTCTCTGACCATCCTTCCATCCACTGGACAGAACACTTGCGGTAAAACGCTGGGTTGCTCTCACAGTTGATGGTGAAGCTGGAGTTGGAGCAGTCCATGATCAGGACAATGTGAAGGTTCTGTTGGATTCCTAAATAAGACAGAAGTCAGTTAACAGAGAATAAGAAAAAAACAAGTAGTGGGTAATCTTTCTGAAAAAACAGACATTGTGTGAGACAGCCATTAGTTTTGTGTCTGAAATTATCTCTTTCAGCCTGTACCTCACCAGCAGAGCTGTAAAGTGAGGGTGAGCAGAGAGCTCTTTAGGCGGTTAACTGAATACAGTGGGGCAAATGACTTGATTTTTTAGCAGAAACAAGCGCGGCAGTGAAATGCTGTCATTTCAACAGAACACATGGCAGCAAAAACAAAAAAGTATGACAGTTTGCAAAAATAAATTATGCAAATGTCAAAAAGATTCACAAAGAGAAGAGGATCAATGCTTTTTAGAAGGTAATGGACACAAAAGGGCAGGGTGAGTCTGATGACAGATATGTACTAACTGAAGGAAAAGTAGTTGTAGAGAGGTCCTGTAAATCCATCATGGGAGGCGGCATCTTTGAGTGATGAGAGCAAAGGCTCAAGTTCTTCTGGGGTATACAGACCAGGAACTTCCCCTGAAAAATATAACGTCAGATGTAGAATAAGAATGTAGACAAAATAAAATGTTTGTGTATGGTTAATTTCCTTAGAAATATAAAGTGGCCACGTTAAAAAACGTAATATAAAATGTTCTCTGAAAAACACATTTACACAATTCGTACCACCATTCAAATCTGCCTGATAGGAATTAAGCAGATTATTAAGGTTTGCTAGGTTTTAAAAAGTACTGATACAAACAGCTGACCTGAGACTCTCCAGCATGTCAGCACGAAGAATGTGCTGAAAAAAAAATCTTTCAAAACTCTATTTGGCAATCTTATCTATTTCAGAGCCTTTCTCAAGCCTATATAAATTCTAACCTTTTTCGTAATAAGTCTTAAAAGTTTAAAAGCTGAACTGTAGCATTTCGGATCTGTTTTCATAAAAATGTACAAAACACAGGTACGCACCTGATGACAGCAGGCTGTTCACCATCTCTAAGAAGGCCGGGTGGACAAACTGATAATCCTCCAACAGTAAAACCACCTGTTGGCCATCCAGACCTGCTAGTTGCATCACCTAAGCATGTACATGTAGAAATAAATGATAATTTTATGCAATCACAAACACACCAAAGATACACAGGTGACATTCTTTAAAAAAACTATTCGTTGGGCATTATCTGATGGGAGCTGATGAGGCTTTTCTCACCGTCTTCAGATCATTGCTGAAATGCTTATGGCTGTAAACACGGGAGATTTTGGGCGTGAACACAGTGTATCCATGCATGTGGGCCACAAGGCTTGCGGCTGTGTGGCGACCCACTCCACTCCGCCCCGCCAGAAGCAGCGAGCCACCAGGTCGGCTCAGAACGCGATCGACCCTGGACACGAAGTCACACACCTCCCAGAACAGGAGAAGGTCCAGCTCTTTGTTATCACGGCTGTACAGCACTACCGCCTGGTAAAGAAAGAGGAACAAAAAGATCAGATGCATGAATGTGCAAAACAGACACTAAAAAGTATGATGAAATTCATATATGCAAACAAACAACCAAAAAAACAGATAAAAGCAGCAGGGTTAAAAAAACAAAAAAACAACAACTTTAAATTGCCACAGTGCAGTTTTACAAACACACTGTTCATCATGAATAACTCATTATTACAAAGATTAAAGTAAAAAAACTAGCAAAAGTCCCATCTCTTGTTATTCAAGTCACATTGTTATGGAACACTTGAAAAATTAAAAAACAACTGCTCTATTTATGTACACAATGTGAGTCCATTTGAACTGTGTGCCTAGTTAATCAGACAAGACAATTTTGAGGACAAAAAAGAGTTCATCTTTGCATACCTTCTGTATAACTTGTCTTAAATCAGCAGAGTCCAGACGACCCAGTTGTTTTCCATGAGGAGGCAGAGGCTGACCTGGAGCTGTTACAGCTCCTTCAGAGGCCCCCCATGTCACATAGAATCCATCTTCAGGCAGAATATCACACAGGAAAAACATATCTTAGCTGCATAGCCACATATAAAATAACATATATGCTGACTGCATATAAAAGATTAAAATTTCTGCAAGTTGTGGCTTGCAGCATGAGGATATGAACAGACAGACCTTTTGTAACACTAGTTGACATTCTGCTAAGGATTCTTCTATGACTTTGAATCTCACATCAGAAGCCACAAAAACCACTGACACCCGGTTACAATTTATGTCCAAGTGCCAGCATATCAAACCTCCTTTAATTAGAAATGGACTCATTTGCAGTCAATCTTGGGATGGCAATTTACACTTGATCAGTGGATAAGACACATCACTAAGCGCACAGCCTTTTCATCAGTCATGGGATTTCAAACAGTAAAACCAACTGGAAAAGAAAGTCATTATTAATGTTGTGCTGGTTTAAAATAAGTAAACAGATCATTAGCAGAGAAATTGCCAAATACATTGCCATATGTTGAGCTGTCAAAAAAAGCTCAGAAGTAATCAAATACTGTTCAGGCATGAGTGACAGCCTGTAAATGGCGACATGAACTGATTCAAGTAATTCATCTCCAGTATAATGGAATCCTTCCCACTTAGCAGAAATGTTGGGCTGATGAATGAGAGGTAAATGAAGAGCAATGTCATACCAGTCATGTGATCCAGAGCGTCAGAGCCCCAGTCTCCTCGTATGATGGACGAGATGATATTATCAAAGGTGTGAAGGTCTTTGGAGGAAACTAGCCGGTCTCTGAACAGCCTCCTGGCCTCGTATGCCACCACCTCCAAAACGCTGTCTGTCAAATTAGATTGGGCTAAAATGGGAGATATGGGAGAAGCACACGTAATTAAGATACGGCTCAACAGGCTAACAGCACGCATCTACACTCAAATGAAAAATACTGAAATAATTAAATGAAAATCTATACTAAAAGACAATCAGTCAGGGAGAGATTAGTAAATACATTTATATCAACATCACTCATACATCTAAAGATTCATAAAGCAGAACAAGAAGTTGACTGTATGACTCAGGGCTCAGCATGAGTCAGAGGGCTGTGTTTGAAGGAACAGGTATGAGACACAAACTTAACAGGGCTAGTTTATAAGTGCCAAATTCCTCAAAAATAAAACTAGAAAAGCATTGTGAGGTTCAAAAAAGAGAGAAAAAATAAAAGGCCCAAGCCAAAGCCAGATATGTGGTTTTACAGGCCACTGCTTTCAAAATTCACTGTCGTTTTATCTTTAGTTTTGAGGAGGAAGTCAAACAGAGGTGTGGTTTACAGTCTGGGGTTTTCCAGGTAGATTTATTTTCTTTTTTAAAAGAAAGTGTGTACATCCAGTTGTTACAGTGAAGTGCTTTTTCTATTCCTGTGGCTTTGGCTTGAAACCACCTAGACAACAAATCAGAAATCAGAAATCAGAACTTGCTTTATTGGCCGAATGTGCAGAGTACACAGAAATTTGACTACGAGGGCAGCCCAAATGGAGGCGCCCTTAAACTTAAAAAAGTAAGCCAGGACAACATCAGGGTAGGAGTTGGGGGAAGAGGAAAAAGTAAAAGAAAAAGAAAAAAAGGCCCACTGCCACGCCCCCTACAGGGGACGTAACAATAATATAAAAAAGTACCTCTGCAGAATCAGACTAAAGATCAGACTAAAGATTTGTGGGATTACTGTAAAGCATATAGGAAAATGTGTTCTCGAAAACAGACACTCGAAAACAGAAAATTATACTTTTCACGTTACACAAAACTCCCTCATTCAATTTCAAATATTCCCACCACTATCACATGTACGTACAGTTAACCTCAGCGCATGCAGATACGTAACCACAGTCACAGAAATCATATAAATAGGAAAAGTTTTCACGTACCAAAACGTAAGCAGCAGAAGGGAAATGGGCAGAAGAAGTGAAAGTCAGAAAATGATGAGCATAGCAAAAGAGAAGTTTGTCTGCTGACGCGTTTAATTAAAATAAACGATTGGACTCTCTATCACAGCAGGAACACATTGCAGAAGAAGAAAAAGACAGACAGAGGGAGAGATGAAAGCACACCAAAGGGAGGGGATGATGAAAGAGGGCGAGAGAAATGAGTGACAGAGGAATTGAGGAAAGAAGAGAAGAGGTAGAAAGAGAAACAGAATGAAGAAAAAGGTGAAAGTTGGAAAGAGTAACAGCCATCTGGTGATGATTTTTTATTTCTTTAATTCAGGCATCAAAACTGAATCATTGGTCCTTCATGTTACTTTATAGAATATTTTTTATAGGAGGAATCTAAGGTAAGAAAAAAGGGTCATCAGATTCAGCTGCCAGGTTTTGTTTGCTAACATCATCTCCAAAATGAGGTTAAAAAGCCTTCTACAGTTTTGATGATGAATGTGTCCACTTTAGTAATGTTTTGAAAAAAAGCTTAAAATTAATTATTGCTCCTTAATTCAACAACACTGAATTTAGGATATTGCTATATTTGAAGAAAGTAAGAAAAATGTTGATACTGATCTTATACCCTAATACCAGGCTTATAACCTGAAAAGCAGGCTTTTCACTTGGAAACATGGTTTATTGATTGGAGGAGAATCTAGTTTGCCTGTTCTAAAATGCACAGCACTGACTCACACACTAAAAATGCACAAGCTTGGACTGCCTGTCACAACACAAAATGAAAAAGCAGGGATAATAATACCAGGCAGCAGAGGAGTCAGTAATAATGAGACATGATACATCACTTAAAATTCTTCCCTTTGAAATGTGTTTCTTTTTGATTAGGTCTTAAATCAGCAATAACCACATTTTTTACTCATCAAATGCAACATGCTACACTTGTTTTTATTCCTCTTAATCAGAAAGACAGATATAATATTTCCAAAACATGCCGTACTGGATCAAAATGTTCTATGTGTAGCCATTAAACCCATCAAAAAAGAAGTCAAAAACATTTTTACAATGAATGTAAGTTTCTGGTTTACCAGCAGTGAGGTCATATCGAAGAAGGCTGAGGACCCAGTCTGTGAGGATGCACGGGGTAAAGAGGTAATGGCTGTGGTCATCTACAGTAAACTTAGCCTTCACCTAAGAGGACAGAAAACAAACAAAATGGGAGCTGACATAAATTATCTTTATAAATTGGATTGGATATTAATTTACTTTTCCAAAACATTTTTCTCTTTGGGTTTTTTATTTCTGCATAGTCTTTTCTTAACACACTGCCTAAATCAGTTAACTTATTATCATTATCATTGTTGTATGTGTTCAAATTCCTGTCAAATTCCCACATGTATGTAGATGTATCCAAACTGAATATCTCATAAAATTCAATACCTGTTCATAAAGCTGAACAAGAGACCCAGAAAGCTGGTGTGTTTTCCCAGTGCTGGCCCAAGCAGCCTGGCTGCCCAGGCTATGCTGGAGAACCGGTTGTAGATAAGCAGAATAGATGTTCTGCAGCTGATCTTTGTCTGGATAGCTAATAGGAGGGGCACAAGAGAAGATAAACAGCAGGGAGATGCCAACAAAAGAAATGAGGTTCAGAGTTGTGATAATACATCTGTTAAGTTTTCCGTCCCTTTCCCCATTCTTACTCTATGGTGCAGATGCGTACGATCGAGGTGAAGCGGGAGGTGAGCAAATGGCTGCCGACAGCGCCGCCTGATGACATGGAGGCCACCACCTGAATGTTCTCAAGACTAACCCACTCAAGATTTTCATCATAGAATCCCTTATATGTCAACACCTGGAGGGAAGGCAGGAATTGGAGAAGTTTTCCAATGAAATCATATCAGATGCACTTTATCTTATCGAAGTGATTTAACAATTGTTATATTCTGTGGTTAACCAATTTATCACATGGATTAACTGATAGACTTTACCCCATAAACCATTCCCCATAAACCATTCTTGACCATTTTCTTCACAATCTGAATATCTTTTTGTCCTTCTTTTACCTGCTGAAGGAAGGCAATGAGGTTGCTGGTTCCCCATTTGTCAGGTTTTGGTAGGTTGATGTCTTTTAGGTAAAGGACCAGGTTCTCGCAGTCCTTGGGCCTGAACACTCGGCCGGTATTTGAGCTGAGCAGCAGACATGTCTGGCTGAGCTTCTGGAGCACATGACGAGATGAGGTCTGGGCACTGCAGTGAACCACAGCAACTTGGGTAGAACGCAGCCGGGAGAAGGCATAACGCAGGAGCATGCTACAAAGTAGACAAGACACACAGACGGTGGAGAGACACCATCTCAGTCATTTTTCACATACGCAAACATTTCTGTCATGCATGTTTGGCTGGTTTCAGGACAAGAAATTTTTTCACAGTGAAGCAAAAGGGCCCCTACGGATCTAAAGAATAATGTTATAAAAGACACAAACACGTCAAGAAGATGCACATAAACTAAACTAAAAATATGTGTTGCATGTTAACAGATTACATGTTCCTCTGTTCAACAAATAAGCCAACAAACCCAGTGCCTCACTGCCACAGTGACATTATTTAAGAAGTGGGACAAGACAGGGAGATGAGAGCAGAAAGGACAGACTCAACTCGAGTGTAAGAGGCATACTGAGTGACCATTGTTCTTCAAAGCCCCGGGGAGGGAAGCAATCACTTCTGAGACATGGCTCAGTGTGCATGCACGCAAAATGTAAGCACACATTTACAAATCTGATACTTATTCTGATCTGTCAGTGTGTTCATGAAAAGGCCAATTTCAGAATAAAAGCTGCTTTGATTTCATTGTGCAGGGTGTTGTTTTGTCAATTTCCGGGCCTCTTTTGTCAGATTGCACCATCTCTGGGACAACAATAGGGCCACCATGAAGAATATGTTTGACTGTCTTTTTGCACTTGGTCATACAGATGCAATGCATATTTAATTACCTTTTTCCACAGCCTTCGGGGCCAACCACCATGAAGGGCTGTCTATGCTGAGCTGTGAGCCACAGGGAGAAACCATGCAAACCTCTCAGCATACCGGGAGTCTCTATTACAGGTAGCATGTGTGTGTGGGAGAACTCTTCCAGTGAGAGACCCTCAGGACGCTGGAAAGTATATGCGGCGAGATTGCCGCTGTCAGAATCATAGTAGGTATTGAGCGGTTTCCTGGGATCTGGTGGGCTTTCCCTCGCCCAGCTGATCAACTGCAGAAATCAAAACAAATAAGAGCAATGAATTTGGGCAGTTAACTTACATGGTGGAGGAAAGAAGAGAAGAAGAAAAAATGGATGCGTTTAATTAAGAGTGACACTGAACTGCGTCCCCAGCAGATTAAGGCTCACTCAGCTCACCAACTGAGAGAAAGAAAGTCTCAGGAAAAACTATAACCGGTAAATGCCCCGAGGATTCATTCTGCGCAGGGCAGAACTGAAATAGTTCATATTAAGCAATGCCACATTGTTCAGCTTTTTCTCATTTTTGTCTGTGACAGCTGTCGATAACAGGTAAACTGACGGTGAGCTCAGGCTGCTCTAGTGTAAATCTACAGACCCCTTGCCACAGCACATAGGTGACCAAAATATGTATTATCACATATAAGTTGTCGATTGCTGTTCAAACAACAGCAACAGACACTTATATGTTTATCTGAGGACCTGTCAGTAACAGTGCTGAGCAGACACACCCCCTGACATCTGATGGCAGTGATCACTCCTCATTTTCCTGTCAAATTCACACATCATTTTATTTAGTTGTTGACTGTTTTAAGTGGTTCACAACACGCAAGTCTTAAAATAGATTCTGCCTTAGTCAGACTTTCATGTTTGAATGTCCGATGACCCATTGCTCATTTAAATCTTGCAGACGAAAACACAGGGGTCCTCACCTCCTTTGCAAATTCCTGCCGTGTTTTGAAATTGAGGTTTCCCCCCATGCCTCTCAGAAGTCCAATGATGAACTCTCCTCTTTCCGTCACAGCATTGAGGTGAGATAGAGAATTGAACACTGTACCCACCAGACTAGTTTCCACCACAAAGTCATTCTGGTGTTTGAAGAAGGGGAAAGAATGGGATACACAAAGTTCATTACAAGTCATATTAGCCAGAAGCATAGAAAGCCCCAGTATTTAAGTATGGTACAGTTTGATCAGTCCATTGAGCAAGTGGATTTCTCAAAGCTGACATTTATCTGACTCACAGTTCAGACTATTACAGCATACACTAGTCAGTAGAATCTGGTCTTTCCTGGTATTTGAAAAAAGTCTGTATTTAAAGCTGAAATGTGTCAGTCTTAATTTTACACAGAAAAAACTTTGGTTTAAACGTGTTAGACATCCAGCGTTCACATTTACAGAGTGTAGTGGAACGATGTCAAAAGTTTCACCTGTTTGAAGACCCAGTCCAGACCTCTTTGGAAGTAATCACCAAGCCAGTTTTCAAGGTTACTGCGGCAGTCTTCTTGCTGGCCCCTCAACCAGGATTTCACCAAAGCACCAACATCAATGTCTTCATCACTGAAGCAAGGAAATGCAAATGAGTGGGACAAGCATTGGGATAGATGGAATCAGAAACAAATACACACAGTCATCAATGGGTGACTGACCTGAGAAAGATCATGCCCATGCGGGAGATGGTAGCTGGTGAGGCACAGCTGAGGTCGTGAGTCTCAAACAGAAAGTTAACGTTGGGACCAAACTGGATCCGCTCTCCACTTGGCATGGTCAAAAGCCTATTGTCGTCAAGGACGGAGTTGAGACTTTCAACCCACTCTGGATCAATGTCACCATCGCACACGATCCAGGAGTTCACCTCTGGAAAACACAAAAGTACATAAAGATTTTACCAAATAATCACTTGGCACACAAGAAATGTTTAATACTCTGGTTTAAATTTATACAATGAAATGTGTCTAGTTTTCACCAGAGACCAAACATTTGGTTTATTGGTGCACTTTTCCCTCGTGTGTCAAACTCACCCTGAGGTTCTCTGACCACAGTCCGAGCACTGTGTGTGAGAACGCCATCAGCCCATTCTCTGGTGTCAATGTCTATATGTCCCAAAAGCTGCTGTCTGGGCATGGCCTTGGGATTCATCGTGTACTGCTTCACCTGCAAGAATCAGCAGGACGACACCAAAGACAAAGAGGGCTGGGAAAGTTTGCTTTTAACTGACCTATAAACTGTCATGTGATTCCTTTAATAGTCTTCAATATGGTAGATATTCTTTAATCAATCACACAATTTCAATTTGAATATCAAACAAACAGTTGACAAACAGGGGGGGGGGGGTCCCTACATACCACTTTGCCTGTCTTGCCCAGAGCAGCCCTGAGCATTCTCCAGAGTGTGGATTTGCCAGCTCCACTTGGCCCAACAATAACAACACCCATACGCTGTCTTAGCTGTTCATTAAGCTCCAGGGCCTTTTTCAGCTGAAACAAGCAATATAAAACTTTTTATGTGAGGAATGACAATTTCCCAACATGCATCAGACATTTGCCTATTAAGATAACAAATGATAACTTTATATACACACCTGGCTGGGTATTAGTTCAAGTTGCGCCTCTTTGTAGACTTGCTCTAAAGCATGTATTAGTATCTGGTCGTCCACGTTGGTGAAATCAACCCCAGCAAAGACATCTCTCACCAGAGCATCAAAACGAGAGCTGTCTGCAAATGTCAGCTTGGACATGGTGTTCACTCTCAACGCCTGAGCCACCAGACTGCTCTCCTGAGCTACACGAACATGAGAGAACTTGGTGTCAAATCCAAAGCAGAAATTAAAAGTTTGAAAAAAAAGATCTTGTTGGATATACATATGAAAAACAGGTAGATGGATAGACAGATGAAACTACAAAGAAATAATATAAAACCATACGAATGATGGAAAATATTACAAAAACACGTCTCATCGTTACTACTTTGCTATAGCTCATGTGCTAATTACCAAAGCCTGCCATGATCTAAAAGTTTGTCAGTACTTTTGTTCTCCACTCCAAAGACTCTTGTCTTCCCTACTTGGTGTTTTTCACAGCAACTCTTGGCCGGACTACAAAGAGACAACATAGAATAACCTTGGGGACTCATCGACAGATGGGAGATGTGCATGGTGTGGATATGTGTCTATGTGTTGGACAGATAAAGGGTGGATAGTGAACCAGAAATATTTGAAAGGGAGCGAGCTAGGGAATCAAGAAAAGGCAGGACACACACACAAGCAGACACACATAGAAACAGACACAGGGCAGGGCAGAGAGAGGGAATGAGTGGGACGAAAGCAGCATCGACAGGCAGGTATTTGAGACAGAACTAACAAGAGGTCAGAAGAAGAGGGAAGGCGGTGGGGAAAGATGTGCTGATGAGGTAAACAGCACAAGTCTGGTGCGGTGCTTGGAGACAAGAGCATGGAGAAGGACAAAAGTACAAATGGGGGGAAAATCACTAGGGAAATGATTTTAAGGGGTGCATTTGGACTTTACAGTTGACTGGTGTGTCTTGTCTTCACTGAGGGACTGAGGGGAAGAAAAGGAGGTGTAGAGAAAATGGCCGGTCTAAAAAACATTTTAATCATGTTTTTTTATTTTTAAATCAGACAAAGTAAGGATTCAAGACAAAATTCAGTCTACTTCCAAGCTACACAGAAGGGAAAAGTCTAAAATATTCAAACCTCTGGCTGTTTTGGCTGGGAGGGATTTCACTGTTGACTCCAATAAAGAGCACAAGCAAAACATGCTCCTCTGACAATGAGGATACTTCATTTATCACAAAAGTTGATGGATTACTTTTTCCCCAAAGTTAGACTTTCCATTCAAACTACGCACTGCATGGACATGGAAAAGTACAGTCAGTTTGGCTCGCTGTGGTGTTCAATATTCTAAATGGGAAAAGTCCATGAAATCCTTATCCACGTCAGTCAGTTTTTGGGAGTGTGCCGCATATCACATAATATGTACTTACGCAAATTTTGCATTAGTGATAAACTTGCTCATATTCTTATGTTATGAATGACTGAAGCACTGGTACAATGGCCACAGGCAATTTATCAATTTACTAATGAGTAATGTCCCAGCTCCCTCACAAAAGACCAGAAAACCACATGTGCCTAAAAAATAAAAATAAAAATATCTAGTTTACAGAGTGGTTGTTAAAGGACAGCTAAGAAAACGCTGAAAATCAGAGACTGAATCTTTCCTTTTTTTTTTTGTAACCATTCACTCCCTGTCATGTCTGTACCTGGCACTATAATGTGATGGCAGCACAACCAATAGATCAGTTGGAGATGCAAGGGAAATTCAACTTTTAAATAATAAGAAAATACTTTATCCAGCCTGAGAGGAAATTTTTCAAATAAATGAGACACTATCTGTAAAGGTTTGGTGAGCACACGACAAACGACTTGAGGCAGGCCATCAGACTTATTCAGTCCAGTCAGCTGACAGCGTCAGTGTGAAACCCCGCCCTCTTGTGTTTTTACCTATGAATCCCTGTGCATTTGTAACTTTCGAAAATGTCACTGGCATGATGCTTGAAAAATACTGTGCCACACATGAGACACTTTTTTATTTGGGCAGCAAATAATATGACTCGAGGTAATGGCCAGTGCTGCATCCACTTCTTTGGACAAGGAAAAAACACCTCGTGGACATGCTACAGAAAGAAAAGCAGCCAGAGGGAGACTTACCCTTATTCTTGTCAAGAGTTCTCCTCTGTTGCTGCAGGAGACTGCCACAGGCCTTCAGCACCGTCTTCAGAGCGCGCAGACCCCAGTCATAGTGCTGCTGGGGTGTCAACAACTCCCTGGGCAGGCAAATAAATACGCATTTCCATACAAGCTCTGATAGTTCCAGCTAGCTGTAAAATTCAGGAGTGGGTGGCTTAGGATAAATTCTCCACACAGTTAAAGGTCCTCAGCAGACCGTAGTGGGATAACACTGAATAATATTGCAGTTAATGGCGAAAGTCAAGCAGCCAAAACAGAATTAACCCCACATTTACTACCTGGCAAGGTTGAAGACGGCCACCAATTTGCGTCCCAAAATTTCTCCATTTTTGAAGCCCTCGGAGTAGAGAATGACCTCAGCAATGAGTTCATTGTCTGGTCTGCTCATGGCCACTGGTCTGAACAGCTGCTTTAGGTTGTCTGGAAGCTTCTGTCTGCCTCCGTAGCCTTTCCCTGCTGGATTCAGAGTGATGAACACTCCAGAGTTTGGGTCCAGATTCACCTGGTGAGTGAGAAAAATCTTTTTATTAATGTGATGTATTCAATGTTATTGATGTGTTGACGGATGACTAAAAACAAGAGAATTACAAGATAATACATTACAATAGCCGGTTATTAAAAACTGGTAAGGAAGATAAACTTAAGATACATAACAAAGTGTTTCTTCTTAACCAGTGAATTTGGGAAAAAAATCAAGAAATATAGACAACAATAAAGGAAACTGTGAAAAAAGAGAGCACTGCTATGGATTTTTTTTAATACTTGAAAGCACTCTACTGTACTTTTTTTTATTCCTAACCTCTTTCGACAGCAGTTCACATGTGTTTTTTTTGTGTTTAAGGGAGTCTTGAATGGCCTGAATCTGCATGGAAACTGCAGACAAAACAGCCTCCTCTAGACGGTTGAACTCATCGAAGCAGCCCCACGCTCCACATTTCACCAACCCCACAAATATTCGTCCCATTGATTTCACATCGATACCCTGAAAGAACAAGGAAAAAAAAGTGAAAACGCTTTGCTTCCCTCCTTAATCTTACCAATGAAGTCTTGTTTTGGTCTAAAAGAGAGGCCAGCTTATCTTGAACACACTTACTGTATGTGCTTCATGATTGTAGAGGAAATATGTCAGGTGTTAGGTGTTTTAAAAATACATTTAAATAGTCCCACTCTCATGAAAAACATAATTTTACCTCATCACAATTGAATACCAGCACCTGGCGCCCGAACAGCCCCCCTAAGGCTTTGACTGACTCAGTCTTGCCTGTGCCGGCAGGCCCGTATGGGTTCCCCCCTAGCCCCATCTTCATGGCTTGGGTCAGAGTGAGGTAGCACTTATCAGTCAGTGGAGTGTGCACCAGCTTAGCTGCATTCCCCTGGGAGACGAAGAGGGTGAGAAAAAATATGAAGTCACTGATAAAGACAGGAAAGAAAAATGACAATGGTCAAACAGAAGTAAAGATGTGGCTGGAGAGGCACAAAGGATCTCAAAAGTCAGCGACTGATAAAGAAAAACAGAAATTCTGTGGCTAAAAAAAACAAATGACACGAAGATGAAAAAGGGCATAAGTGAGTGTGGCGCATGTTTCCAGAGAACTGCAGTGGAGATGAACAGCACATTGTGTTCAGTCTTTTATCTCTGCTAAAACAGTGCCCCCAAAAGGTCAAAAAAGGTAAAAATGTAAAGTTTTTCCTGCCTATGAGAGGCGTCCTGAGTAAACACCAAAACAGAAAATTTGCACAATGTTCAAAGTGCTTCCAGCCCTTATAGTACATGTGGATGCTGCTGAAAATTCAAACACTGAACAGCATGTTCAGGATGCTGTTATGTAAGCGGGAGAACAGGTGGTTGAAATGGGCAAAAAACGAGGTTGAGTCACTTAATCATTAAATTAGTTCAAATGAATCAATCATTATTTATTTAAAATTTATTATTTAAAAACAATATTTTCACAGCATGATAATATTTTATTTTTGCCTTAACTAACATAATTCCGTGGAATCTAATTCCAAGAATGTAAGATCCCTTTCAACAGACAGAAAATGAACCTTTAATACTGCAACACTTGGACATACAATGAAAGATGCAGCGTTAAACTTAGCCATTTTTCTGTCATTTATTCTGGCATACCTGGTATTCATAGGTATAGCTGAACTGTGCATCCACCATTTGAATGTGGCAGCATTTGTCTGGTCCCATGTAGAAGCGGAGCTGTTTCTTCCAGATCCATTCATCAGTGCTGGCAACACCTGCCTGATTAAGTTGCTTCACAACACTGATGCTATGGATAATGTCCAGGATCAAGGCTTTCAGTTTCAGCTGCAGGATGCTGGATTCTGTTCAGGAAGACATGTAAGAGAAAATGAATAGTCAATACATCTGCCCAAAAAAGGCATATGATGGACAATTCTACAGAACAGGAAAAGCAGCCGATTAAATTATTAAATACAACATACAGTATTGTGTACGTATAATTTTAGCCCAGTTGATTTATAGTAAAGACTTAAGGTCTGAATTTGCAGTCAGATAAGGATTTTATTTAGCGCTATGAGTTGGAGCCACAAGTCATCATAAAACTTTGCAATGAATTATTGAGGTCGCTTTGATTTGGATATACGATAGATTAATATTAGCATAGAAGATGGCCACAGGTTTAATTCTATCATAAAATAAGCATATCTTGATGATTCTGCTTAAGAGGAAAGGAGTTTACTTAGACAACAATAAGCCACAATAAAAACTTAGCAAGACCAGAATAAACCAATAAGCCTTTAATTATCACAAATTCAGGCAAAATGATTTTTTTCAATGTGAAGTAGCATTACACAAAGCAAACACATCTACTAAAACACAGTAACATGAATCAGGGTTTTTGTGAAAAAGGCCCTAGCTATGAGCGTAAACGCCTGATATCACATAACAGTGTCTTGTTCACAGAGAAGTTTCACTGGTGTCATCCTGGTAATGGTAACTTACAAGAAATATCCAAATGTTTGCCAATCAGTCCCGTGTCTCTGCCAAAGAGGAAAGTTTCCACATTTTCCCCACAGTTTACAGCCCATTTACGTTTGTCAACTAGGAAATTAGATTATCTTTCTTGGCCTTACTTTATCTACTTTACTCCACTCTACAGCCTCTACAGCTTCATGTCAGTAAAGGAAGCCAGTAATGCAAAGAGATGCTATCATGGAAAGTACTGTAATTTCAGTGATGAATGACAGTCATTTGCAAGCAGGATAAACACAAAATCGACCATGGTATCTGTAAACACAGTGTAGTCCCAAAATAAAATGTAGCTGTCTTACTTAAGTCACAAAGAAACCAAAATTCTAGTCCACTAACTTTTTACATGACATGAGAGATTCAGAATTTGCAGCAGTGTCCTGTGAAATAACGCCCCTACAGGCATTATGGAGGAGCTTTTCATCTCATGCATGAAAACAAAGGCAACGCTAGCAAAATTTTAAATATATTAGTCCTTTTTAGAAAATTCAAGTTCTGAAGAAAAGCTCAGCTGTGATGGCTGATGTAGCCACAGATTTAGCTTCAGGTCATTTAATTGGCATGTCAGCAACTACAAGCAGAGCTTTAAAGGCTGCTGCCCCTCTGCAGTCGATTGTGTTTCAAAGGCTTGGAACAGATTCCCACGTGATCAGTCATTTGCAATGAAATTCTTAATCCTGAGTAACGAAAAAACACCACACAATGACCACTAGTATTCTAACTTTCTCTGTAGATTCTATTGGTCTATTATCAGGCAGAGATGTACATGCTTTCAATATCCCAGATAACATGAGTTTAGTCATTTTAGTGAAGTTAGTTATAAAGGATGTTGTTATAGCCGACATGTTGCCAAATTGGTGTAAACATCGACTTAATATTGAAGAAAAAAAGACGCATCTTTGATAACTATGGAGAAAAGAAAACACAAAACACGAAAAAAAACTAATCCTACCTGCGTTAGGCTGCTCATCAGAGCTGGTGTCCACCGTAGTGTAATGCTCCAATTTGCTATTCAGCTCAAGCTCCAGCTGCTGCAAATTTTTATCTTTTATCCCTTTCTCCACATCTTCGGTAAACTGGATTTGCTCAGCCAGACAAAGAATCTGCATCAAATAGAAAGTAGTTAAATAACTTTTTTAGAGCTAAAATAAGAGTTAGGTTCTGGGTCAGACTCTTAAATCAAACTAAAAACCTTTTATTGACATTATTTACATCCTCTTTAATCATAAACAAACGCAGATAATATAGTAATACGAGTCAATAAAAGGAATTGGGCTGAAATGTTGTTTCTAAGTAAGATGACAAGGCTTGGGAAGCATTTTGTCGAACTGTTGACATCAAAGCTTGTGTGTGTACCTGTGATGGGTACCGTGAGGGGTCCACCTCCCCTTTCCTCCCTGCCAGCAAACATTCATACAGCAGCTGCTTCAAAGTCTCCTTCATTTCCACGGACAGTTCACTTAACCATGCCTAGTGAACAGTAAACAAATATGCAGCCAAGAAAAAAAAAAGTTCTTCAATCATTAAAGCAAAAGTGGAACACCATTGCAAGTAGTTGCGCACTGCAGGTACTTCAGACATGTTGTTTCTTTATTGAGCTCTTTAATGCATTTATATTGCTCAAATTTTGCATTTAAATCAGATTTAAATCCATCGGTAGTTATGGAAACGTGATATCACGTGTAGGAATGATGGCTAAAATGTAACCCTGACAAATACGCAGAGGGACTATTGAGAGTTTTTGTCAACACCTTTCTCTGCTTCTCTTCAGTCTTCAAGGAGATGGTCAAGTCTATTATTTCTCATTTTATTATCCATTACATTTTTAAATCTATCAATAATCTATAATGCATAAAATATCATTTGTCTGTGGAAATTAAACACCATTGTGCTGAAGTGAATTGAGTTGAATAACCGAAGATGCAAAAGATGCTGATAAAAAGTCTAAAACCTGATAAAAAGAACGCACATTGAAAACTCTCAAAAAAGGCTTTACCTCAACATGATTGGAGATGCGTACAACGTTTCTGAGTTGCACTACTTCCCCCTCCAAAGAACACATGGCAATAATGTGTTCACACTGATCATCAAACAAAACACTGTGAATCCCTGCACAGATAAGCCACATGCACATTGCTGTCAATTTCCAAATGAGCAGTACATCATCAAATGGCAGGAGAAAAATGACCCAACAAAACCCAGGTGTCTGACCTGCAAAGAGCTTTTTGAGATGTGACTGGATCACACTTGGATTGGTTGCCTGTCCCAGAATCTCTAAAAGATCATCATCTCCAATGAAATAGAAGCGTGGGAAGGCAGAACGCTTCTCCTGCAATAACAACAGAGTAAGCCTTAAAGCTTTCAAACAAACTGCAAGTCTTGCAATCAATGCAATCAGAAAAAAACATATATGTTTTAAATGTATTTCCACATAGAAATGCAAGCGTGTACCTCCAAGAACTCATTGAGTGACTTCTGGCAGCGCTGAAGCTGATCCAGTATGGTGACCAAGGAGCTTCTGATTCCTGCTCTTGCGCTCAAAGAAACAACTCTGCTGTCCCTCTTGATGTCTGCCATTATAGACCTGTTACATATTTGAAAAGAAGTCATATTACCACAAAAGAAATATGTTATAGTGTCAATAATGCCCTTTTTTATACCGGTGTAATATCATTTACAACATAGACAACCATAACTAACATGAATTTTTTTTTTTTTTTTCATTTCCAAAAGGTAATGACTGCCAAATTTAAATACAGCATACCTGAAGTCTTCATCAACACGTTTGAAGCGGGCCTCTTCTCGGGGCAGCGCTCCACGTCCAAAGATTGGCTCCAGGTAAACCCAGCGCCTTTGAATAGCATTGAGATTCAGCAGGTACTCATCTAAGTCTGACAGACGAACCTCCCACAGACTGACCTGAGCAAAAGGTGCGCAAGGTAAGGTCAGTTCTTATCCAAACTGTTAGCCACAAATGACAGACACAGAAATTCATTTGATTCGGTTATTAAACACTCCGTCTTTATCAAACCAACTCAGAGGAAATTCACTTTGTCCAAAACATTCAAAGGACTTAAAAGATTTGAAGCCTTTTATCTGACCTTATCCTGGAAGCTGCGGTAGTACGGTGAGTCTTTCAGAGACTGCAGCAGACAGCGGTTATCGCCCACCTGTACAGGCAGAGGTTGGTGATTAATAAAAGGTTTGCTATTGCTTGAGTTTTTGTAATTTGGTAGATATTACAGTTTTTAAGCCATTTAATCAATTGGAATGCTACAACCTTTACTGGTCCCAACTTTTTAAAAAAAGGAATATCCAACATAAATTATGAGAGTTTAACACAATCTATCCACGTAAATAAAAGTTCAACAGCTACGTGCTTTGAGCTCAATTTTGAATTCAATACTCTGCCATTACAATAAGTTAAAGCCCAGAGTATCACTTCACCCCTTCATGAGTTGACAGTAAAAAGACTTTGAGAACATTTTATATGCAGTAAATGTATGATATGAAGCTGTGATAAAGATCAAATACATAACTCAAGTAAAGCTATTGGTAATCTATAATCATCTCAGTCCTCTCTAGTAATGTCAGAAAGTCTTGTGGTCAGCCACATATATTTCACCATGTTCCAAAAAACCCTTTCGAAAAACTGATGCCAGTCATCTGAGTACCACCAGGCTTGAGTGATATCTGCAGTATCAGTGAATGTACAGATGGTATTTGCTGGTTTGCTGGACATGTAATCTGATTCAGGAATGTCAGAGAAAACAAAGGGATTCCTTCCTAAAGATTTTCCCCCAGTTTGTAACCAGAGGGCTCAAGACAAAATCCCAGGTTAAGAACATTTGAGTTTTAACTGACTCAGACTGGAACTTTAGCAGGGCTGCTTAGATGGCTTACCGCCTCAAACAAATGTTCAGTCAGAGACCTCATGTCCAGAGATTATTTAGAGAAAGGCTCATTTGTGCCTCAATCTCTAGTAGGCTTGACAAAAAGAAAATTATCTTTCGTCTAGTCCTCCCATCCAGAGCGCTGCGGCAGAGTCTCAGAAAAAACCTGAGAAACATCGCTCCTGTTCTGTGGTCCTGACACTGACTACCAGTTATCTGCAGTGCTGTTGTTAGTTGCACCTGACTTTTACCCTTATCCATCCAATTATACATTTTGTTTTACTTTTAAATTAGTTTATTTAATCCCAATGCCTTCGTAAAGTACTTTGATTTTCTGTAGAGTATGGAGCATGCTATCCAAATAAAGATGCCTCGCCTTGCCGACTAACAGTATTTTTCAATTCTTTCGAATTATTTTCTCGAGAGACAGTATGTTATTATGAAAATGAAGGGAAAGATGTTGTTTGCACCCATCTAGCAATTCAAAAAAGGCTCTGAATGTCAACAAGTTAACTGTTGAATTACGTATTTTTTATATCCCTAAGTAAATACAAATTAAATCCACCTTTTTGCTTTGAACCCTTTAGCAAATTTTACATGAAGCAGGAGCCCTGAGTTACAATGTCCTGACATGCCTTTCTTATTCAGTTTGAGGAACCAGCGCCTAATAAACACAAAGTACGGTTCATTAGAAAAAATAAATTTAAGAGGGATCAAAGTTTAAAGGCCAAAGGACGAATTGTTAGTGGTACAGATAACACTGACATTAGATAGTGGTTTTTGGTTTAGTTTTTAATTCTCCTGGGCAACGTATGGATTTACAGAGTACACAAAGCAGATGTATGCCACATACCTGGTTCACTATATCCTTCCAGTCCTTTATGAGGTTGAGAGTGTGCCCACTGTTGTCTGAGTACTCAGTGAGGGTGAAAGTAGCGGCAGCTCCCCACAAATCCAGCTCCCGAAGAGCTTCTCTGATAGTCACCTCTGCCTGAGCACGACTGTTCAGATCCTACATTTGGAAAGCACATAAACACACACACACATACACACACACACGCATTTGCATCAGTCCAGCAGTCAACAGAGCGTTTAGTGCTGCACCACCAATGTGACTTGTTTCATTTTGCAAAGCAAAATCAAACCTCTCATGGTTAAATGAAGGTTACATGTTCTAAAAATAAATATCAAAAAGAAAAAACATAAGATGAGAAAAAATTGTATAAAAAGATGGTACTTAATTTAATCAAAGTTGCCTATATTCATAAACATGAAAAGGAAGTCTGTCAATTACCAAACTGGGCGGCATGTAAGCTTTAAAATGTTTTTTTTAAGGAATTACTTACATCAGGCAGTGGATAATATTTCATGAATATTATGTAATTGTTTTTTTTTATGTGTAATTTTAAGTCAATTCCTTTTGATCAATGATAATCAATATCAAGTATTTGAAAAGTTATTTACTCCCCCCATAGTGTGAGCTACTCTATTTCAACAAAGATAGATGCGTGCTCCTAAAGGCCCAGAGTGTATATTAGAGTGTTTGTTCAGACCTTGAGCTCCAGTGCTTTCTCTGTGATGGTATTTGCCACTCCGAGAAGGTCGCTGAAGATCAGCCTCTCTAAGGTGGTCCCTCGTGGGAGACCCAGCAGCCGGAACATGTCCAGCCAGTGGTCCTGCGACAGATGCTCCCCACGTACATATTTCAGCACAGGCATCATGTTCTGGGCAGGCAGGTAAGAAAATGTAAACATAAAAAGACGCACTCTCTGAAAATTAGATGAATAAATACAAAAATTCCTACTCAAAGAATTGGACAAGCCCATTGTAATTAGAACTGGCAGTTGCCTCTTAACATTTGCATCCAATTATTGCTTGAAAGGAAAGACTTGACAACAATGACACTTTCCTTCAAAGACTAAATGGAGCACAGGGATCTATCAGCTTTTTGCTATATAACTGAGTACCTTGTATTTGTCCACTTCTGCTTGCAGTTTGACAGACATGACAGTGGGTTTCTCTAATTTCCTTAATCTGTCCTGCCACGTAAACAGAAACTCTTCAAACAGATACGTCCTAGTCCTGTAAATCACAGCAAATGGAAAAAAAGGAAGACATTGGGGTTTAATTAAACATAAATAAGACTAAAAATAAATCTATGAAATCTCTGAGGCCTAACAGGAACTGTCAGACCTAAATGTGATCCAGTCCTCATGGGCCTTCTCTGTGAAGCCCTGCTGCCACTCCTCATACAGTCCCCACATCTGGCTGTACTCCTCCATGTCTCTTTTAGTTTCTTCCGCCAGAGAAAAATCTGGAGGCTCCAGATCAAAATAGCTGCTATCCTCTCTACAATGAAGCAGACAAGTACACTTTACCAAACAGTTCTGTCAACTGAGTAAAGATCATAATGCAATTAGTATTTGAATGATTTGATACTCAAGATACAACATCGGAGTTACGCAGGTGTTTACTAGAGACTGGGTTCAAACAAGACTTTTAATATCAAACTAACATTCTCATTTAAGCTTATTCGTTGTCAGTCAACAAATGCAAAGAAAATACAGAACAAAAAACCTAGAGAATGGCCACCGAGCATAAAAAATGTCCATAAAATCTAGTCACTTTAAAGTGAAGGCAATCGGTCCCTGTACTACTTTATACTTCTTGAATGACTCAGTAAAGGAAACATAAAATCATTCACAAACTTACAGCAGTTTATTGCGCACAAGCTCAAGCTCCTGAAACTCCTGTTGTTTGTCCCTGATGGTCTGAAGACATGCAAGCAGCTCAGTATGATCACCAGTCTCCAGCACCTCATCCTTGGGTTTAAGCTGATCCCAGCGGGCCTTAAAGCGCTCCAGATCTGCCCTGTAGGCACTGATACGCCCTGCAGCATGACTTCGCATCACCTCAACCTAATAAAGGCACAAATTGCACAGAAACTGTCAGAGAGGTAGGAAACAAGGACAGCACACCTTGAATGACAACATGTGGGATGAATGTGGGACGGCCATACTGTTCAAGATTTGAAATGACAATTAACAATAGCAATAAGATGATTTGCCCAAAAAATTATGAAAAATCTATCTGTATAAGCCGAACTCACCTGTTCTTTTAGCATCAGTTGGTGGCTCTCCATGACAAGCTCCAGTTTATCCCATTTGGCTCTCAGTGATGATAGAGACTCAAGGCCCACCCCAGCAACAGCCCGCAGGAGGCGGTTCTTCTCCTCAGCACACTGGAACTGAGGCAAGATCTAGCAAAAAACATTAGAAATTGTTTTGTGTAATGAAGTCGACAAAGCAACAGCACAAGTCACTTACATACAAAAAACTAAATCTGTCTCACATCTGTCTAAAATACATTCAAAATTCAATTTAAAGTGGCAAAATTATGATTGGAAAAAAATCTTAAACAAATAAAGGAGTAAGAAAACCATCTCGGCATGAACCAAACTTATCAGCATTCGCTTATAAAATATTCAGTTTTTTTGTTGGGGAACACATCATCTTACTTCAGGCTTGCCGGTGAATATCTGGCTGTATTTGCCCTTGACCACACCAATTTCTTCCATGCTTTCTGGCCGTGTGGACAGAGCCTCCATTGATTCAGACACAAAACTATCTATGGCCTGTATGTGTCCTGAAAGTGAGAGAATGGAAACAGAAAAGGAAAGAGAAATTGAGAGTAAGGGAAATGTCATGGGGCTGAAGGTTTACAAAAAGAAAACAATGACTGCAGGGAAACATTTAGTTTTTGTGTGTTATTCTGTACATTTAATATATATGAATGCAAAAAGCTAGGAATAAAGAAAGAAGGTTGAGATTTCTGTTTACCTTGGATAGACCTCCTAAGTGATAAGAGCAGTATGTCGAACAGCCTTTGGATCAGGTCATCAATGACAGTTTTTACAGGCTCACAGTTGACTGTAATGCAGTCTACTTTTTCTTGACTGAGAGAGAAAACAGGAGAGAAACTTAAAAAATTTTAATTCCTGTATATTTAATTTTATCTGAGAGCAAGTCACATAGATCTCCTTCAGATCTCGAATTTTTACGATTAATTTAATTTAATTTTCTATTCCCAAATGGGATCACGGGGACTATTCCAGTAGTCAATGGGTGGACAGTGAGGCGATGGTGCTAACCACCACACCACTGTGCAGCTCGTTTAAATCTAATGTAGATTATATTTCATTTGTTTTTTTCTGAGTTTTATATACCTGGGTAGACGTTCCGATTCTTTTCCTCTTGCTTTCAGGGCTTTGAAATTTGTCTCCCAGTCTTGGACAGAACTCAGATGCTTCTCCGCTAACTTTTCTAAATCCACTTGACCAAGCACCACCCACTCCTATGGCACAAATAAACAAAGTGTCACTGTGAGGTTGACAGTAGGAAACATTTCTATTGTGTTTAAAGGCAGGCCCAAGTTGACTAAAACAGCAAAACCCAAACTGCCACAGATGGTGAAAAAAGGGAAGAAACTAAAGAGGAGATATTTGTGAAGTATTATGTGGGCTGAGGGGTTTCCCCTGTATTTTAGATATGCATGGCTTCAGTCACAGGAAAACACTGTTCTCAATACTGTGTCTGGGGAGTGTGAAGGGGAAACTGCGAAAAAGAAAAATAGAATACAAATAGAGAAGAATGACTGATCAAAGTTTCACTCTTTCGGTGAAAACAACGAGCCGTGACTCATAGCAATGCTTCACTGAACCAAAGATAAAAGGTGAAGCATAACAGCGAAGCAACACCAGCTTTAAAATGATATCGCACCACTGGAGCAAAACATTGATTACATGTCATTTGAATCTGTTAGAACCAATGAAAGCTCAATTTCTGAAGCCAGGTTAAGAACTGCTCTGTGTGTTTACAGAATCAAAGGCCTGCAGACTATCATTGATTGTAATGGTTTCTATTTGCATCGCATTAACTTCTCTTTCCTAAAATAAAAAAAAGGTTAACAGTGTTGTCATAAACATTCCTATCAAAAGGATCTCCTGATGAAAGCACCTTGAACTTGAGCTGCACAGTCTGCAGGCGGTTAAAAAGGTCCTCGGCTTTGGTGAAAATGGTGAGGAAGCCAGCAGCATTTCGATCAATCATAATGCTGAAGATAAGCTCCTCCCCCTGGACGCTGACCCCTTTGAATTGGTTTGGGATTGAGATGAAACGCTTCATCTCCCTGAAGTATCGTGCTCGTACCTCCTCAAATGGTGGACGGAACTGTAAACGGCCCTGCCTGTTCACAGGGATAGATTACTTAAAACGCATTTGAGCCCTTAAACAATCCAAATAAAAAAAGCTAATAGAAGAGAGAAAGAGAGTGAGGTGGTTTAGTTTAGCTGTGAGAATAAAACGTGGGGTTACTTGTGCCTTAGATTGGGAAAAATGAGTGGGAAGTTTAAACAAATTAATAAATAAGTTACAGGGCAGATGAAGCCTTAAATATAGTGTGCACTGACTTGAAAATGAGGTCTATGTGAATTTCAGGCAAGTTCTTGTTCAGAGCTTCGAGCCCAGTCTGATACTGGTGCTCTAAAGCCTTGTAGAGCTGATGGTTCCAGTGCCCACGCCATGCCCGCATGTCATCAGACCTGAAGCCCTTAGAAGAGAAAACTCAGGAATATCAAAATCCTAACATTTTTTTAAAAAGCACACTAAACTGAAAACGTCCAAATAAATAACAAATTCTAAACTTTTATGATAGATCTGCATCGCATACATTTGTAAACTGTGTATAGAAGTCCATATCAACGTACTCCTGACATAATTTTATTCCAGTTTGTTAAAACCATGGAAATATAGGGTGAACTGTCTCATCTTACCCGCAACTGTAGCCAAAATGTACAGTTTAAATGTAAGTGTAATTACTGAACCAACATGTACAGCTCTGTTTGCTTATACCTGGGCCTCCAAAGCAGCAAAGCCAGTACGGAGCTCCTGCAGGCCATCCTTCCACCGTTGCTGGTGTCTCAGTAGGTCGACATTCATTAGTGTCACCACCTTTGAAGTACACCCACAGTTGCAGACACAATGAGAACAATGAGCACAAACACCTACTATTCGAATAGGTAGTATACTACTACGGTCGAAAAAATATTTCCATATGGCTTAATTTTGTGTAGTGTTAAATGCTCTGTCCTAAGAGAGCCACCACCTTGTCAATGAAGTCGGTGTGCCATTTTCTTAACTTCCTGTTTTCGGTGGAGAGCTTCTCTGCAGAAGACTGCAGTTTAGCAATGTAAGCCTCTAACTCTTTTGGGTTATCCCAGGTGATCTGCACTTTACCGCCCACTTCCTTTGACTGGGAACGAGGATTCTGATGGACAGAAGTAAAAGAACCATCTCAGTCAAAACATTAAATAATTGCTTGGTAAGGTTTCGATCAGGCAAATATAAGTCTACTCTTCCAAACATTATCGATATTGTATTTGTAAGATACTCGTTTATTTGAGAAAAAAATCCCAGAAAACACTTCTAAAAAGCAGAACTTTTCAAAACAGGAATACCTTGATGACCTGCTCAAAGGCAAGTGCAAGACTTAACATCATGGGTCTCTGAGAGGGAATCATCTGCTGATCAATGGTGTTGTAGAAATGGGCCACCTTTAACAAAGAAATATTTTTTTACAATGCCAACATTTAACATAATTTCATTCACATTTTAAACATTGTAATGAATGAATGAACCATTTCATATGGAGAGATATTGGTGTGTTGTATACTCTCACCTGCTTGAGGACAATGGCATGTCTGTAGAATTTGTCCGCTGTCTTAGCAGCCTGTTGTATCTTGGCTGGAATGGGAAAGCCAAAAGCAGAGAGCTGTCTGACCTCCCTGAGCAGAGTGACCAGTCTGTCTGAATACTGGATTTTCAGCCTGCCGTCCACATGGTCCAGGTCCATTACACGGTCACTGGCCTGAAGACTACACAGAGGGGGGGGGGGGCATTTAAAATCCATTCATACCAAATTATTTCAGCCTACAGCAACACTGTGTTAAATATAGTATCATGAATCACCTGTAAATATTAGTGAGCCATGTCTGGCTCTAATCTTACAAAATAACATATAAAAGATCTAAATATATATAGGCCAAATTCTAGTTGACAGTTGTGCATTTTGGTGTTGCACTATTCAAACCTGATGCCAGACTTTGGATCAGCCAATCCAGAAAGTATATCTCTTGACCAATCCTCAAATTGTTCTTGTTCATAAGACCTCAGGAGTTCAAGCAGATCATCACAGAAATGCAGGAAACCCTTGAACCCAGGCAGGTCTGAAAGCAGGGATTCTGCTATGCGAACAGAGTCTTCAACCTGCCGTAAAAAAAAAGAAAGCTTTTCTTATATATGGAAGTCAGTGACAGACCAGAAAATGTATACCACAACCCACAGAGTTACCTTATGTAACAGCTGTCGCACCCAAACTATTTTATTGACCACTTCAGGAAGGTTCTTGCCCATGAAAGGGCCAGATTTATCTCCAGGTTCTCCATGGCAACGGTTTTCAAAGTCACTCCTCAAGCCTAAGAAAAGTTGAACATGATGGGGTAAAGCAACAATCTGTCACCACTGACATCATTAAACATTAAATATATAAGTCTTGTGCTATCAGTAAATCACTATGAGAATGTTTTTCTTCTCAAAATACATGCACATTAAATAATGGTGCATCTACTGCGCAAAAGTAACAAAGCCCCAGTCAGTTTAAGGTAAGCATTTCTGAATGAAGCTGAAGCAGGGGGGTAAAATGTCCCCTATTGGTATAAACAGGGGTCTCCCAGTCTGGAACAGTGAGCCCAAATTAAACATTAGTTTTTAAAGCAACTTCAGTTTCAAAGCAGCATTTTGCACCTTGTCCATTCAACTCCTGTGTTTACCTATATAAATATGGGGCATATGGATTTGTTCACATTTTTTCTTTTTCCTTTATTGTATAGAAACAATAAGTCACTCAAACACAATTTAACCCAAAAACAAACAGAAGTGCTTCGACAAAAGACTGTCTACCCTTGTTGTAATCTAGGAGTTTAGCCAGCAGCGTTTCTCTTTCTGACTGCAGCTCTTTGCTGATTGTGGGACGTCTGATCAACTCCTTATGTTTCTGGAACACCTGCAGCAGCTACAAATAGAACACACGTATACAGAGTGTAAGTTTCAACAGACGCCCTGTAGATTTTTCACAAACTGAGCTGGAAGGGTACTTTTTTACTACCTGTTGCGGGCTTTCCTGCACATCCGCAATGTAGCTTTTCAATCTGCCTGCAACCTCCTGCTCAGAGGGTGCTATTAGGCGCTCGAACTGAGCCACTGCAGCTTTCCAAAGAGGCTGCAAAAATACAGTTAAAGTTTGGGGTTATAAAGCTCCCAGCGACACAGCCAGCAAAAATAACTCAACGCTCTCAAGTAATTGCAGGATGAGGAGGGTAAAATCGTCAGCCAAGGTTATTTTTGAGACAAAGGGAAGCCCCACAGGCAAAGCAGAAGCACTCGGACAGTTACAAAATGTGGAACGTTTGTTCCACCGGCAATTAGAGAAATGCCACTGACACATAACACATGTAACATTGCTCCTAGCAATGTAAATAACATAGTTATTTCCATGTAAGTTTGCAAGTTTGAGGATGCTTTCAATTCGAGCTTCACTATGCGAACTAAAGGCAAACACATCAGCACAGCATACGAGACCTATTGAAAACTCAAGGACAGATACCCGTCATACTTTCATCTTTACATAGAGTTCCACACACACATGAAGGTCTCTTCAACTGACCTCGGTATAAGGGTTGTAATGCAGTGGGTTGAGCCCAGAGAAAGGCTCAAATACACAATCTGAAGTCAGAGCCTTCTGCTTCCCTCCTGGCAGCAAACCCAGCAGTTTCTCATGAACCATTCGTAGAGTCACTACCTGATAAACACAAACAGGGACTGTGTATTCATGTTGTCAAACATTACCCACAGAGTTACTCACATTTCATTGTTGCACAAGCCTTGTGCTGTAGATAATGTGGTTAATTAAAATCATATGATTTTGTCACAAAGATGTTCTCAAGAAACAAAAATAGACCAGGCCCAATGGAAAATGCTAATGGAGCAGATACAGGTTTCTACGCTCAACATGGGAAGTGACGCACATACTGAAAAGAGGAAAGAGGTCTGCATATGTGACACTTGTCATAGTAATTAGATCAGTGTAGATAAATCACTTGTATCCTGAAAACTGTCATGCATTCAAAACCTTTTCTCAGACCCAGGAACTCGTGTTATTGTGGCAAATATTTCAACAAACTGATTACACAGTCTAATTGAGTGGCCTTAAAGCTGAAGTAAAGGCAAATATTATGATCAAATAAGTACAGCTATTTTTAGAGAAATAAGACAAAGAATTATTTTTGAACAGTCTACTAAAGGCTCATTTCTACTTCTTTGTTTGTGTCTTTAAAGAAACAGAATCCAAATTCCATGAAAATGTGGTATTTCTCTATAAACAAGTCTAGTTTTGTTTTTTTTTAATGTGAAGCTGCGTCTTTTACTTCTGCATTAAATGCAGCCGTGACATAGAGAAAGATGTATTTCTAAACATTGGTTTTAAGTGCGTCAAAATTGCCACATTACCTCAGTCAGCCTTTTCACGAGACAGTGAAGGCTTTGTGGACAGTGGTTGTTTCCTCTCCAGGGATGTGGAGCATGTCTTTTCCATACCTGACAAAATAGAATATTTCACACAGTTTTTATTTCAAAAACTGACAAAGGAATTTCAGTAAAATGTCATGTTTCATCACATTCAGCTGAGGCAAAGCTGAACTGCTGGTGCTTTTCACCCATTCTTTTGACTGCCATACCTGCCCAGTCAAATGCTCGCAAGCTGCTACCCACTGCTCACAGATGGACACACCGGTTCTTAGGTGCTCTCTCACCGACAAAAATGGCGCCCCAAAAATCATAACACCGCTCAGCTTCCTCTGAACATATCTTCCCAAGGCTCCACCTTGTTCATGAAGACAAATGAGAGAAATTCCTTCATGATTATCATTTACACATGTAGACCCACACACAGTGACAACAGAAATCAAAACTCACTAAAAATGCCTTTTGAGTGAGAGTCACTTGGCTTAAAATGTATTCAAAATCACCACTATTTGAATAATGTCAACAATTCTTTTGCAGTCAAAATAATGCAGGCAGCACCCCCATTAAACTGAGAAGTTCCTCAAAATCAAAATTAGTTTCACTTCTCAGAGAATGAGTTTCTTTAGTAACGATAGGCAACTGGAAAAAATTTAGAAAAGACTATTTATTTTGAAGAAGAAAAACAAGGTCTGCAAATATTTGTTTTCATTTCCTTGTTTCGGTTTGCGTCTGTGTGAGGGACTCCTACCTATGACATCCATCAGTCTGACCATGCGACTTTCGGGGTAAGGTTCGAAATCAGTCTGCCTCCACACATCATCGAGAATGTCTCTGCTTTGTTCCACCAGATCCGAAACATCTGACATGGACAAGCTGTCCAGACCACCATATTCCTGGCAGAAATAAACAGACGTGTATTTTGATGTCTTGGTTCTGTTTTAATTGAATTAAAGTTAAATGTTAAATGTTAATGTTAGCTATCGCCATCAGAAACAGTGAACTGTACCACAATGTGATGTGCTTGTCATTGTTTTAGACAATATTGAATAATAATATATGATAATATTGCTTTCCTAAGCAAATAATTTAGTTGGAAATAAAAATGCAATTAAATACATGTCTTTGTGGTGTTTTGTATGGATAGATACTTGTATGCCTTTTACCTTTTGAATGAGCTTGAACTGCTCAGTGAAATACGTTGCCCTTTCTCTCTCACTGCTCTTCTCTGCAGACTCAGAGAGCTCTGCCCAGTACTGGAACTCATCACTGGGAGTCAGGATACCTGCAGACAATGACAAAAAAGAAGATGTATCTACAGTTTTTCAAAAATCTCTTCTCAAATCTCAAAAAGTTTTTCTTAAACAAAACTATTTTTACAACATTTCTCATCCATCACTGAATACTAAGTCTTCCTAATAAATAATGAGATCTTGATATTTGTGTATATTCGATTCTGTTTTTCAATGTTTTTTTTATATCATACAAGTATCCTAAATTCTGGACAAGCAGTTTAAATTGGCATGCATGATTTTATATCTGAGAGAAATCTGATGTCATGTCTTGGAAAAGACATATATAGCAGGATTATTAACCACCTTGGAGATTTACTATTGTCATGTCATCACATATAGGCATACCCAAGACATCTTCTTCCACACAGTTTTTTATTGAAGAGGATTTGCCTCCAGACTGGCGAACCACAGAGCCCAGGCCCAGTTCCAGCTCACTGAGAAGGGTTGCCAACTTAGGGTCAAATGCTGAACGCCAGTGATCATCCTGTGAACAACAGAAACAGATTCATACAATAAAATTAATTGTTTATTGTGAGAATTTCATCATTGTTTGGGAACACAAAAAAATTATTTCAGTCAATTTAATCCTCAGCACTTTAGTACAATATCTTCACTGAGGTTCATCTTCCTTTTCAAATATATATATATATTTTAATGCACATGCTTCAAACATGTTCAGTCATATAGAAGAAGGTATGAGGTCTCATTTTTCTACAAAGAAATCTCAGATGTGAAGCTGCTACATGCTCACCTGAAGCAGTACTGGTGCAAAAACCTGTTTGACAGCCTGATAGAGGGTGTTTATGGGGGATTCCAGCATGGATGAAACAAGAAGGCTTTGGTGAAGGTTATCCTCTGTGATGACTGTGGGATGCAGCTTAAAGAAAACCAACACCTTCTCTTTACTGACGCCCACTTCTACAATCTATTGAAAAAGGAGAAATATTGAAAATGAATAAATAAGCCCAAAAAAGTACAAAGCAGAAGAACAACAACAAACTCATTATCTTACGTGCAGTCCTACCTTATTTGAAAGATGGAGATCATTCCCATGTGTGCGGATAGACAGGACAAACTCATTTCCATCATCCAAAAAGTTATTCAGCTCTGGGCTGTCATATAGGGATGACAAAGGCTTAACTCCATAGAAGTTTCCAGCTGTGGTTAGGACAAATGTCTTGCGAGCATCTTCTGAAGTGTGAGGCATCTTTTAGATGAACATATAGTGCTGACTATAAGACAACCTAAGCATACAAAAAAGAGTCAGGGTCATAAACATGAGAGAACACTAAATACTGCACAATACTGAAATTATAGATTATCTGTCATCCTTGTGAAAAGCCTACCCACTTATAGCTAATGATGCTATTTCAAACCATTCCCAAGTTTCCCTGAGTTATGATAACTCAGGACTTCAGTTCCTAACATTTATCAGATTGTCAGGTAGCATCTAGCCTGTAAGTGATGCGTCGACCAAGGCTCACGTTGCTGTTATCGACAAGCAAACGCCCTCATGCCCCGGCTAAACAATAGCTTTTCGGTACAGAATACTTAGGCTATGACTTATTAAGTATCTACATTTGCATTGGGAGAAGCGAATATGCAAATCTTCGCAAAGGGACTGAGCAGAATAACACCAGCTAGCTAGCTAGCTACTATTAGCTTTACTTTTGTTAATACACATTAAGCGTAGAAGCGACTACGTTGGTTTTAGAGCTTCAATTAATCAGTAGAAATTCTAGCTTCATACCGGTTTTTAATCAATAAACGACCAAGGCTTTTATACTTAATCCATGGTTTGGCGTCATAGCAGCGTTGCTTCCAACTCTCAGATCTACGACGCTAGCGTGGTTACTAGGTAGCAACTACGACCAGTTAAACTGTGTAATATGACGTAGCTGGAATCCAACAAACCTACTTACTCAATTCACGTACACCGTTTACGCAGAACAAGCGCCAAGCCTATATGTATGTCAGACTGAAGTGAATTAAGCAGATGACTATACATGTAAAAAATATTGTTTGATGTATGTTTTTTTAAACTACAGTATAATAGCAGCACTGGCAGGAGCAAATAATAATAAAGATAGCATCAAAATATCAATATTTTTAACATGACATCAGGGTAACAAACTGTCATTCATTGATCAATGACATAGGGCTATATAAGAATTTTTTAACAAGCGGGCTTACATCTCAGATTATCAGGCACATGATAACATGACCAAACCCCACTCAGTCATCATCAATACAGTCAGCTTTTATTTACAATAGATTATGTTTACCCGGGTTTGTTGGGTGGTAACTTCGATCTGTCCCTAATTTACTAATTTTGACACAGGGTACTTTAAAAAATTTAAAATTTCGTCTCCACGTGTCTCCGCAGCTTTCTCAGTTGATAGTACATTGATGAATGGTGTACATTATTGAATGGCTCCTTGCTATGTCAGCCTTTTAAAAACAATGTACAAGTAATATGCACAGTTTAGATAGAATGGGGATCTCTTGAGGTGAAAGTTTCACTTCTGCTGCAAGCTCTTTGTAGATAGAAGGGAAACTATTGCCACACGTCGTCATCGCACATGTACAGAATATGTTTGAGCTGTTTTAGCTGAGTGTGGTAAGAATATGGCCCTTATCTTCATTGCTAACTAGAGAAATCCACAATACCTGATAATGTGATCACACCTGCCCATAAGAATTGTATTGTGTTGGTTCTTGAATTATTGGATTGAGTTCAGTTTACTTTGTGGACTCACATAAGCTATTGATCACATTATAAATTCTTACAGGAGGCTTTCCAACTCTTACTTTAGAAAGGACACCCAAGGTTGAGAGTCTTAGAAAGATGCAGCTTACTCATTGCAGCACCCTTCAGTGGATTCTTATAAAAGTGATTTTGAACATAGTGACATTGGGCATTTTATTCAATGTATGGAATAAAAAAAAAAGAAATTACAAAATAGACAGTATGAGTCTGTAGTTAAATTAAAGATTTCAAAATCCCCCACACTGGGGAGACGAGACTTGTTAATATGGATTTCCTCCCACACTGACTGCTAAACAGCAAATTCCTGTTTACTAAACTGTACTTAGAAAGTATGTAGGTGTTAAACTCGACTTTTAAGGACTTTCTTTCTATCCTTGTTGTCCATTAACTGATATAGCCAGCCTCTGAGGTTACTCACTAAAAAAAAATCTTTTTTTTCCCTGCTTTAAAATACAAAACTCTTTGGCAAAGCTTGCTTCATTGAGTTAGTCAGCTTCATGGGAAATCCCTAGTCAGCTTTGTATGTTGACATTCTTATTAAAATTACTGTCGTGACCTATTTGGCAGGTCCCTCACAGACCTCTGTTCACACAAGTGTCAAAATAGCTATTCTGTGAATTGTTCAAGTTAAACTGAGCAACTGTGCACAGTCTGTCCATTCAAAAACGTTCAAGTTATATATTTTCAAATGATAGGAAATGTGATCGCAGCAAAAACTCTCACAACAATCCTTTTTTTTTAGTCGGAGGGGTTGGTAAAACAGACTGACTGAAAAACAGAAGTGAGAAGGTGTTTTTTTTTTCTATGACTAAAGAACAAACAAAAAAATGAAATGCTGGGGACAGATTTATGACAAACCAGCTTTAGGCCTATACTGGACGTGTGCATAATAGCAGAATGTGATAAAATGTCAAGAGCACGGCACTTTGACACAGGAAATCCAAGGAGCAGGAAAGCCTGAACCACATGAGCACTACTCCACTGATGTCGAAGGGTTTACTTCCATTTGGAAGATTCCCTCCACTTTAAGAAACGTGGATTCAGTAAATGTCAGCTGTGAGCCCCTCGATCCCAAACGGTAATCTATATGCGTTGAATACGGAATTCAATTTCATTTAAAGCCAAGCTTTTTATGTGTTACTTTTGTACAGCTTACAGAGTGAGTTTTTCTCCTTTCTTTGAACAGCACAGGCAGCCAGGCTCAGAAGAATGGCATGCAGTGAGGGGTTAATCTGAGGTCAACTTTGTTATTTAGCTATATCTGTTTCTGGCAGTGAATAATCTTTACGACTGCATTCACTGATTCAAAAAACACAAAACAGCAGCAGGGTCTGGTGGATGATACTTCTTTGTTTTGACATAACTAGAGTTAGTTCCAGAGAAATCAAGTCCCACAACTGTAGCTAAGCTGGAAAGACTAAAATCAGGAAGTGTGACATCAGAAGTGAAAAAAAACTGATCATTTGAAAAAAGGAAATGAGGAAATAAATGACTCGTGTGACTCCACCCTCCCAAACAAAACTAGGGTAGAAGCACACATACACACACACACGCGACTGCACTGACAGAGACGAGACAATGGTGAGTACTTCTTCCTTTTGTCCAAATGTATAAACAACTTTTAACATAATGACAAATAGTGTTTTGTCATTAAGGCTATTGTTTCCCTCACTGTTGGCACAGATTGTGCGAATAAATCATGGAATTTCCCACCATACTCACCCTTATTCAGAGGATATTTCTACAGGAAGACCTTTGTTTTAGGTGGAGTGAAAATGTTTAGCGTACTGGAATGAAATGGATTTTACCACATTGGGTTTAGCTGAACTTGTGTTCTAAAATATATATCGTAATCTTTGTAACATTTTCAAGGCCACCTATTCTCATCACAGGAATGCTTTTTATTAACGCTTTGAGTATTTCAGTCTGCAACAGCCAATCAGCCAAAAAAAAAAGATGTAGTGGTTTGAACTGTCTTCTCATTGACTGCATAGTTAATCATTAGTTTATTACGGAGGTACTGAAAATGAGAACAGAATGTACATATTGGCAAATGACTTATGACTTTACAAACACTAGCCCAAAAGAAAATGCTTTGTGACTCAAGAAAGTGTTAAACTCGCATGAGCATAACAGACTGTGAGAGTTGTATGTGGACAATAAAGATATCTTAAAGCTTTTCATACCTCGGCACTGTTCAACTGGAAAAGTTGATGTAGGTCAATTTGGGAATTCCCTTGGTGGCCTGTTTTTTTCAGTCCTCACTATCACGCCCATATTTTCTGTGAGACTATAGAAGCAGTAAGATTATCTAAATATATAGTCATCATTACAATTAAAACACAAAATATTCTTTTCTGCCATCACTTCCATGATATCTGCTGATTCTTTAAAAAAAGTAATGCCTCAGTCCACATGGCATCAGTTGTCACCATGTGGTCATGGTGTGAAAATGATGTCATAGGCGAGGCATGCAGCGTATCTAAACCTAAAATGTAATCCAAGTCTATTTTTTTCTCATATCAACTTCAGAATAATATAATGAACATCAGTTTTCAAATGTTCCTGAGACAAAACATGATTTGCTGTGTAAAGTCCACTCGGTAATTATTCTGCTCTGGGGGATTCCCTATGATGTCTTACTGCTTCTGACAGAAACTTCTCCTAGAAGGGGAGGGGAAAATGAAACCCATTGTCGGGATGTCTCATGGTGTTTTCACTTTACACGTGTTTCTGTGTTTTCATTTAGTTGGTTATTCTACCTGCTGTGCTAAATTCACATCAGGTGAAACTTCTATATGAATAATATGGCTAATAACTTTACAATTTGTCCTGGTGAATCATCGTCTATACATAAGAACTTCTGTAATCCTCAGCCAGGGAATTTCCTAAAAAGAATAAGGTCAATAAGGAACTAATTTCCTCTCAGACATTTTTAGAATAGTTCATTTGACACTAGCTTCTATGACATAGAGTAATGTTTTACCTTGAACAAATATGTATGTTGACTAAATTTGTAAGACATTTACAGTAGATGGAACTACTACCACTGCAGGTAGAAATGTTCAGTCACTAACAGCGGACTGAAAGAACGAGTTTCCCCTCCCCAGGTACAGGGATATATTCTTCTCATTCTGACATACACAGGCCTAGTCTTTTAACACTCTTGGGACTTTCCTTTAGCTTGTTTACGCTTAAACATTTTGGGTGTGTTCTTTCAGGATGAATCAGTGTAGTTTGACACTGAGGGACCAGTCACCTATTCAAATAAGTTTGCTTTTGCTTTGTATTTACCACTACTCTAATCAAATGCACACATTCATTCAATTGATTTATTAAAAAAAGTTTTAATTATACAAATACATAAATGGCACAGTGAAAATTTATAAGACGGGTGAGGGAATTTGTGAGCTATTTGTTTCTGTTTTAATCTAAAGCCGTATGACAACTGCACTTACTCCTGATTTACACTTATCTATTGATTTTTAAGAAGATCAACCATTCATCTGATGATTTAGAGCATTATGAAAGGCAGTCATAAACTTTCCAATGCTGTGTATTGCTCGATTAATGCTGTTCCTCACCGTTCTTACATTTGGTCAGAAGTTGAAACATCATCTCAGTGTTTCACCAGCTTGTCCTTTTTCCACAGGAATCAAACTGCAAATCACAAAATCTTCTGTGAGTAACCCTTTCCTTTTCTCTCTGCCATTTAATATTCCACCAGCAGACGATGACGTTTGTCAGAATCCATAAATAAGTCGACCTTAGGTCTCACGCTCCTGAACACTTCTAACGGCTTCTTTATGACTTGTATTTGGCTGGAAAACTGCCAAAATATTGCAGCCATGAAAATGAATGCCGTCATAGTCCATGTGAGTTTCACTCTCAAGAGTGAAACTGACTTACTGTATGTCACAACAATGCTTACAGTTATCAGAAAACAACAATTATAAATAGATTGGTAGATCCAAACCAAACTCCAAACCAAACGTATTTCTTTTGAACACTAAAAATGTGTGTTGCTATTGAAATAAACTTAAAAATGGTCCACTTGGTCCAAAACTAATCTGTATAATGATTTGCAAAGCAATACATTTGTCAGACTAAATCCAACAGCTGCCCTTGTTGTGAGTCACAACAACCTGATAAACCAGCACAACAAAAGCAAACCTGTCCCCCTCTGCTCTCTCACCTAATTTTCTAATAATCTTATCACACAATTGTTCCTGCTGCATTCCTCTGTCTTGCCATATTTAAACTAAAATTGAAAAGAATATGATATTGTGTGTAGATATGATGCCATGGCCTCTTGGCTAACCATCAGTATGTGATAAGTTGTAAGTGAGACTGAGAAAACAAAATATGCTAAATAGTTCTTCAACCCACAAAAAAATGTTTTAATGGACAATTTTAGTAGATAAAGTAGCTTACCTGTAATCTTAAGGAAACTCAAGTAAAGTATTCTCTTGACTTTTTCAAGAACAGTTAAAACTGTCTCATTTCAGTCTAAATAAACTGGATCCACGTGGGGGCAAGTCTGTAATATCTGGTGAAAAGTTTTTGTAACTTTTAATTAACCTTATAGAGTTATCTCTTTTAGTTACTGCAATGTTTCAGCAATGTTCTGTTTTCTTATTCTTTCAGTAGATGCCTGATGGTTCCCCTGGTTCTAGCTGTGAACCTGCCCACAGGTGAGCAGCTCTGTTGTAGCACTGAATTTGCAAAATGCTCTGAAGATTTATTGTGAAAATGATTGTAAATCACATACGCAAAAGTTAGTGACTTCACAGCATCGTACTGGCTGCACATCTTCAAATGAAAAATACTATCCAACAATGAAGTTCTACTCTTATTAGTCTTATTACTCTTAGTATAAACGTATTAGTTTTATCTTAAATGTGTTCATGTTTTCTTTTCAGAGAAATGTACATTTGTTTTCTTCTAAAGAACGAAGTGATCAAAAAACACACACATATTTACAAGTTATATAGAGACCTGTGTCTGTGAGCCAATGGAAACAGAAGTGTATAGATTCAAAATCTGAGTGTGAATTAGCTCCCTGCTTGGTGTTAATCTTCATTTGTACATGATGTCATACTAGTGGCATAGCTATTTTCTTCTAAATCAAATCAAGGTAAAATGTAAAACTTTATTCCCAAAATAAACTTGTTTCTGTCTCTTCCAGTGACAGAGGAAGTTTTATAAAAGCTTACTGTCTTTCAAGTTAAATACAGAGTACCCTTAACATTGAGATATTGGGCCTTCAATAGCCTTAAAATTATGAACATGACACAAAAAAATTAAAGGGAAAGGGCACGATTAGGTATGTTTTTTTACATAAAAATGAACAGTCAAAACTAAAAAAGTCCTAATGTTTCAGCCAGTACCCCTTGTAATCCACACCTACCCACAACAACAAGGATAGTTCACATTATACTTCATACCTCATATTGCCTTTCATTACGCCTGGGAACCTTCTTCCTCCTAAAAAGATTTCCACTTTGTTTTTACTCTTGGTACTTTTTGTTTTTCAGGGAGCCCGACTCAGGCCGAGTATAATGGGGAATTCGGCGGATATGTGACCTTTCACTGCCCAGTCAAAGAGAACAGGAGAGTCAAATTGTTATACTTTCAGCGGGGGGACATTTTCATCAACGGGTATCATGCCACCAAAGAAATACATGATACATGGCAAAACACAAAATTTGACCTTAAAACCTCAACAATTCAGATGTTTGATCTTAACGTGTCACACAGCGGACCTTTTCAGTGCAAAATCATGTACTCTGATTACGAGAGCCCTGAAGATTTTGAAATATACCTCAAAGTTACAGGTATGTATCAATTTTTTTTATTATTCCTATATCGATCACAGACACTATAGAAGATGTCTTTTCAGACCTTTGTTTTCCTCTGGGACACAGGCCAGCACCTGCGTCTTGTGCCAGTTCTGTCTATCTTCAGTCATAGCCGGTCAAAGAGAATTTGTTAACAATAATTGGAAATGGATGATAAACATCTGTAGCAATGCCTGTTTAAGTTCAGAACTGCATTGATGGTTTTCACTTCATCCAATCCCAAATGAAAAAATGGATAAGCATGATAAAATCCTTGAGTAACTTGAGTGCAAGCTATAACAATTTGTGCACGCAGAGTTGCATTTTTCATCACTGAAATATGTATATACTGAATATTGTACTTTCATCTGTCCCATACTTTGAGCTCTCCCTCACAGACAATGTAAATAATCATGAGGAATGACAATGTGCTGGAAAATTGTTACTTGAAATATTGTAATCACACAGGTCTGACCACAATCCATCTCTCTCTGTCCAAACTTTTTTGCAGCCAACTACAGCAAGCCTTCAGTTGAAAGAATCTGTGAGGAAAAGAACAATGTCATGGGTTGCCACGTAACTTGCTCATCACATGATGGCTACCCAAGAAAAGAGATTCAATGGAAAGACCACCAGACTTTGAATGATAGCCATCAGATCGTGACTATAAGGGAGAGTAGTGATGCCAATGCAACAACAAAGCTGTTCAACATCTCCAGCACTGCTTACTTTAACTGCTCCAGTGGAGAACAGAAGCTCAGCTGTTCTGTGGGGGACATCACCTCAGATATCTTCAAAGTCTGTGAGTAATCACTCTGAAAATAAAATGCTAGTATTGGCATTAGTCTGTCTTTTGCTTTATGTCTCATTGAATAGTCTAGTTCATGTTTAAGATATCAGTATTATAAGATATAAGTATATTTGTCTAAAAGCCAATTCCCAACTTCCACATTATCAATCAGATTTTATTGCATATTTTGAAATATTACTTACTTGACTTGGCTTACCTTTTAGAACATTAGCAGTTTAAAAATATCTGAAGAATGCAAACATTATAGACTCCAAAAAGGGTTTATGCTTTTTCTCTCTTTCATGAGCTAACTCTTCACACCATGCTACTATCATACCGTATAGAGGAGATTTCTGGTCTTTGATTAGAAAGTAATTATTAAAAGGTTTTTAAAAATTATTTTAAACTAAAACTTTTTCCTTGGGTTTTGTTGCCAACAAATATGTGAAACTAACTTTAACACAGCACTTATAGTACATGCCTTTGACTTTGATGTGTGTGCTTTTTTTATTTTGTTTTTTAAGGTGCTCCAACAATTCCACCTGATTATGTGAATCTATATGTGATACTTGCCCTTGCTGTGATTGTTCTCTTGGGGATTGTGTTGATAGTGTACATCACAATATCACAGCTCAAGAAAATGAGAGGTAAGAATATAGTGTGCAGTGGATGTTCATGTTGATTTAAATGCCTAAAGGTCATTTTGCATAAAATAATTCTCTATAATTAATGTTTAGTTTCAGCCCCAAAGGAAGACACTGAGAATGTAAATGAATTGGAGTAAGTGGAAAATTTGTACTTGTATGATATGCTCCTTTTATAACATCAATGTAGCATAGCAAAACACAACATTTACATCATTATGCAAAACCTAACATAATGATACGGTTATCTTTTTTCAGAAAATATTTCAATAGATAATGTTAACAGTACCTTTTCCTCACTTCTCTACGTGTTTCATGTTTTCACAGGAGGCTGCAGACTTAACCAGAAACAGTCCAGTGGTGTCGTGACTGTTCGACGAGAAGAGGAACTCTTTATGTGTTCTAGTATCTAGGACCAAAGCTATACGTCACTCGATTGTACATTACATTAGTGGGTGATAGGTTACACTGACCACAACAGTCTAAAATGTTGATAGCACACTGCCATCATTTTAGTGACACTTGACATTTAAGTGTTTGAGGAAGTGTTCTGTATTCATTAAGGTACAATACGTCACTAAACTGAGAGTGGCCAACTTCTTCAAGGAAATCACTGTTGCAGCGGTACGAACTGAAAATGTCATCGTGAAGTTGGTTTACAACTGCGAAACGGAATGTAGTGGCAATTCATCTCAGGAATTTTGGCTGGAAAGTTTCCAAAAGTTCTCTTGACATTTGTTACATGAAATTTGTTTAAGGGAAAGGCATTTGATGTTAGTAAAACGGCTCTAGACTTTGAAAGCTCAGTTTTTTATGTTCTCTTTAAGTTCTATGGATCTCAATATTTTATGTTATCATTTTGAACACAAATTAAGAGCTAAAAGAAAAGTGTAGCATTTATATGTTTGTGTGTTAAACTTGATGGAATATGTTTATGACTTTATCCGCAAATGTAAATTTTTTTAGTGGGGTCATTTTCACAGTATTCCACTGTTAAGTGCAATTTTGAATGGAGTGTTCTAAAAACCTTATTCATTCTCATTGAATAGTATAACCGTTTTCACGAATAGTTTTGTTAAAAAAAAACGGAAGAAATAATAACTTTTGTGCTGCGTGGTATTTCATAAATTATTTATTTCAATACATGCTGCTTTCATATTTAAGTGTTAAAACCAGTTCACACTGCTTTGAGAAATGAGCCTCCTACTAGTCCTCACCACCAGTCCCTCTCCGTGCTTTCATTTCCTCAATATAAATCGTACTGTAAAAACTTTGAGATTAAACTATCGTCATTCAAACTCAATAAATACTGTCTGCTGTTTTATACAGATGTATTACAGTGAAGTTCTGTAAAGTCAAAAGAAAACCAAAGGTGCTAAATAAACAGAAGAAAATAAATATCCCTCAAAGTGTTTCCCTCAAATCCCAGATAGCACATGTGGGTTGTGTTATTTTGAAAAATGCTTTGAATGTGCATGTTATATGAATTGAATATGCTTTTTTTGTTCCAGTCCAACCCTGCCTCTCGCCCAATGTTTGCTGGAATTTTTGTTTCACTTGCAATGTTTTAAAATCTCCACTGGATGTCGCACAAGCTCCACAGAGCAGGCCTCATCCTGCTTCACTTCATGTGCAAGAGCAACCTAATTTCCACCTTTTTGAAAAGAATATTAATGCAGTCAGCAATTCCAGAACAAAGTTACGTTACAAAACATGTACAATCTCTGTTTTTTTCACATCTAATCCTGTCCTGTAAGTCTCTGTGACAGAGTGCCAGTCTACATTTCTGTCTTTTGTTTACGTTTTGGCAGCAGAGCAGAACCAGGCTGGTTGCGCTGTAGGATTTTAACCCCACTGCCCCATGTCCCACCTTTATCTTGCTCATCTTTTTCCTCCCATATCTTCCTTTTGTATCGGCTCTTTGTTTGAGCTTGCCCATTTCACTTCTCACTTTCCCTCTGCTCCATCCTCAATTATTCCTAATCCGCCTCCCAGTTATATGCCCCTCTTTCCCACTAACCGGTGCCCCTATGGTTCTCATCTATTTCTTTTAACCACCTTTCTATCCTTTTTTCTTTAGTGCCCAGCCTTTTCCCTTTCTAACCCCGACTCTTTTGGCCCGCTCCTCCTTCGCTTCTTTCTTTTCCCATTTGAAAATGCAGCGCATTGTCCAAACGCACTCACACCCCTTTTTTCCCTGTCATCATCCCCTCGCCTCCTACTCCGCCCCATCCTGGTGTCCTCCCTCCCTTCATTCCTTTGCTGTCTAACCCAAACAAGCCAGGGAGGACCTTCCTTTGCAGTGGCTGCAGGAGAAACACACCACATGTCAAAGTTGGCTAAAACCATAAACATTAGTCAATTTGAGGCACTGAAAACGGATATGAGGCACTTAAGTTCAACATGAAATAGCGTCACTGAGAGGAAGTCTTTGCACTGAAAAATGCCATGCCAAACAGTGTGAGAATTGACAGTTTATGGAAAAGTTTTAAGAACTTTAAATCTTTTGGTTCATCAAAAGCACAGACAATTGTTCTGCTGTAGGTCAAAACCACACAACTTTATTTTTCGAACGTTATTCAGAAATTAAAAAGCGACTTTGCATTCGTATAGCCGTCAAAGTTAAGGAAGAAAGCATGATAATGAGCCACAAACTAGGCAGTTTTTGTGTTTCAGTGACGCAGTGGGGTGTTTAATCTCCTGCTTAATGGGAAAACGCTTTCACTCGAAACTGGGTCCTGTGGCATTTCTCAGCAAGAGGTGTGCGACCTCTGCCACACTGTTCTGTGTGGGATTTATAATCAGATTATACTAGTTATGAAAGTCAACTAGATTAGTTTTAGCGCTGAGAGCTGGAGCACAAGGCATCAATTCAAGGGGCTGATCAGCTTTAAGGAGACTGGATTGTCTCAGTGAGGGTGAAGTGGAACAAAACAATGAGCAACAAAGATAAGGTGGACCTACTGATGTGACAAAAAGTTTAACATAACCCTTTTTTAGCTTTTGCATACTTAATTTGACAGATATATTCTACTTATTCTTGTCCTGACAGTTTAACAAAATAACAAAAATGCTCATTGATTTGGCAATTTTGATGCTCAGTTTGGTAGAATATTTCTTCTCCATATTTTCCTTTTTGTGGATGCCAGGATATTTGTGTGCATGTTATTTGGGAGGCTCATAAAGCAAAGGCAGTAAGGGAGGAACCAGGACAGCAGGGTCAGCTCTGGTGCTGCTGCAGCTGAATGATCACACTGTTGCTGTCACTGCAGAAACCCTCTTCCTGACCTGCAGGACAAGAGTGGTGACCTGGAAGCATTTATCACCTCGGTGCTTTCTGACCCATGACCTGCTGCATGAGATAGGATAAAAAAGCACAAATTCATTGGGGGGAAATAAAGAGACAAAGAAACAGTTAAGAAATGAAGTCACCAATGCAACATGTCAACAGTCATTTCTTAATTAACTTTATACTTGACATAGAACTATTTGTTGGGTCTTATTAGATGGGTTTGCTCCACTTCTATTGAGTAAAAGAGGATTCAGTGTCCATACCCATATGGGTTTAGTGGCAGGCTTATGTTGAGGGTCAAACAAGAGCCAAGGTGTGTCCATCTTGATGAGATGACAAAAACATTACTTTTGTGAGGTGTTGGCTTAGTTGACTCCTCAGAAAACTGAACAATTCTCAAGTAGTTTGTAGGTTAGAGCATGCTGATTCAGAGTCCCGCCAAACTATTAACACCTCTCTGTCATGGAGAAAAAAGGCAATGTGGGGGTCAGAGCCATCGAACTGGGCCATAACCCAGAACCTTAAGTTGTGTGTGTGTGTGTGAACAGACGAGTGAAATCTGAGCAGACACGGACAAGAGTCTCATCTCCTTTGAATATTTATAGGCCTGTTTAAGATTTGACCTTTACATTTGCACACATTCACAGGGACCTGTAAGAGCTAGCATTGCCTCGCTGCCTGAGATAGACAGGTGATCATAGCTGACTCTCCCGTGGGGGGATTGAATGTGGGGAGCCAGTAAAAGTAATGGATATCAGAATAAAGGACTCGTGGTTGAGATGCCCAAATGGCTGAAGAGACTTGGCAGCCTCGTGTTTCTGCGAAAGAGGAACATCAAAGACTAACAGGGGTATCTGTAACATGTATGGAGGAATACAATAAGCTGACACCATGTTTCCTGCTTGTACCTCACACATGCTGCTCCACAGTTTTCAGTTAACACACACTACGGAATTTAATAATCATTTTATTAATATTTTAAGTTAATAAACAGTTAAGGCAACAAAAAGATGTTAATTGATTGTCATGAAGAAAAACTGATTGGGATTATTATTATTATTACAAAAATTATTACAAATATTAATTACAATAATACAAGTTCAAATAATCCTTGTCATCAGTCATACTGATGACAAGAGGCGTTATTGAATAATAACCATAAATATTATATAACATTATTTGTAGTTTATGTTGTCGATTTCAAGTTAATACATTTTACTTGTCTCTATCTATATTGTGTGCATGTCTCATACTAATAAAGCGTATATTGTTTTTTAGTTTCACAAGGACACAAGTACTGCTGATAAAGTCTTGCATCTACTGAAGGAGTTCATTTGATTATGTAATTTGTCCTCATGTTGAATTATAATCTGAAAGTAGTGCGAGATACAGAAATTGCTTTAATTGAAACGATAAATTAGTTAGATTTTCTGTGACTATGAAGTTAAATCTTGTATGAGACTTAAAAGCAATATTATTTAAAACTGTATTACCTCACAATAATTACTTTGAGGCTAAATAAGACACATTTTCTTCTCATCAATCAATTTTTTCTGATAATCAGAGAGATGCTTCAGATGCCACAATCAACCTGAAAGATCTGCAGATATTTACAGCATTGGCAGGAGTTTCTGATCAACTTCAGTAAACGGTATGCCTTCTGTTGATGCGTCAATATAACAGGAAGATGTAAAAAGATAGAAAGGAAAGGAAAGTATGTTCATTATATTTGTAAGGGCTAGGCCAGAGGGCTGTGACTAAAGAAGGCCCAGTTGACTGCATACTAGGGAAGAAAAATGGCCGACACGCAGTGCAATCAGGGGATACTTGACACCGAAAGATCCCCAAAGTAGGATCCATTTTAAATGATCCTTACTTCACAGATGTGAGGGATTTTGAGGAGGGGCATGTCGCACATATCCTAATGGGGAAGAAATGCATAGACCCTTGAGAATTTTGTTGCCATACGATAAACGTATTTATCAGACCTGCGTATGTTGTTTTGAGTGTCCTATGTGAGCCTATAAAGGATGATGTGCGTATGTGAAATCAGAGACACCTGAGACAGTTAGAAGGTCATTCCTGCAGTCTGGTCACATAGCTTTGATCATTTTCTCGTCGCCTCAGAAATAGACCAGCGAGGAAAGGGCTGGCACAAGCACACCCTCCCTGTACGTCTGTGTGTCTGTGTTTGCAATGGAGAGGACTAACCCAACAGACTGACAGGGAATCTGCACTTGTTTGTAGTGCACAAGCCTGTGTTTGCATGACTAAACTAATGCATTTGCACACATGCCTTTTTTTTGCCTCTGCTTTCATTTACTGTGTGAATATGTTTGTGCACACTTTGCAAATGCTTGAAGGGACAGTCTGTGAGCACAAAGCGATTGTTATGGGAAGGGTTGTGGTCTCAACTTTTATTCTGTCAAAACAATGAATTCATGCTTGACTCTTGGATAGGGTCCTGAGCAATGTTCCAGTACAAATAACACCCATGACTTTAATGTGCCGTAAGCATGCTGCTTCAGCAGCATGTAATATGATTTAAACAAGTTTGAATTAATTAGATTTGAACTAATCGATGTAAAAGAGTCAAAGTCATATATAAAAAAAAACATCAGATCACTTTCATCTCTTGGACAAAGACTTTCCTTTTGTATTTGTGGAGTTAAAGAAGACATTAAATAGTTTACCGCTACAAAAAAACATGCATGCATGAAAAACCATAAGGGACATGATTAAATTAAAAACATATAAATATGTAACATGCAAATACGGGTTATATAAAAAATCTATTTTTACCATGCCCATTCCATTTGTACTGTTAGGAAATGTAACTTTCAAGTATTTTTGCATTGGAATTAATGGTTTAAGACATTGTTACGTAGGTGCAACTTATGTTAAATGTGGCAGGTTTGAAAGAATAACTTGAAAACGTTCCAATTTAAGTTTTGTGAGACTACTGTGACTATGAACAGGTCAAAAACACAAAAAAATCTTATATCCTCTGCAAATCTATATATCTGAACTAAAAAATAGCATTTTAGGATTTCCTCATTTAATTTTGACTAAACAAGAATTCACAAACAAAT